ATAACCATCGTTTTTTTGTAAAAAAAATTCAATTGCTAATTTGGATTGTTAATATCGAGCTCATTTTTCCAGTCTATTTGGTTTAATTCGTAGTTTGCTTTGTAGTAATTTAGTTTTGTGGACTTTTCTGGTTTTAAAAACTTTATATTCTTAAGGCAAAATTGAATTTCGAATGGCGGATGTTTTGGATCAATTTTTGATAATTCATGCGTAGGTAGTAAAAGGAAATCGCTTGTGTTAGTAAGTGCCAGATCCAAAATTCTATTGATATTATTTCGAATTGAATTGATTTGTTGTAATTCATTGATTGAAAGTGTATCTTTTATTTCATTTGCAATATCGCCTTCACGTGAAAGTGCTATACATTCATTATTATAGAAAAACCATTCTATTGAGGCACCTAAATTAAAATCAACCAATATAAGAAACTTTGCATTCGGTTCCCTCGAACACATAATCTCAGTTAGAACATCCAAATATTTTTGATATTGATCGAATCTAGTTCTTGGCGGTATATATACAACATTAATAAAAGTTTTATGAATTGTAGAACAATGTTTTAGTTCAATTCAAACATTTTCGAAGGGTGTTTCACGTTCCCAGTTAAAGTGTCTTTTATATGGTATATAGTGTTTAATAGCAATTAGTGCCCCACCACCCCATTTCTTGTCGGGTCTATTCCTATCATCCCTTTCAACAAAAAATGTGTCATCGAAATATTCTTCACTGCTATAATTTTGATTCAACCAATGTTCCGTAAAAACTATCAATTCATATGATGATGCAGAGATAGACGATTTTATATTTGTTTTCGTTCTAATTCCTCTCACATTTTGGTAAAAAATACGTAATTTTTTTATCAGATTGAGCCATATCTCAGACAAGCTTGAGTTCCCAATGCGTGTTTTACTAAAAAAAATGTTTTGCTATAATTTAGTGATGAAAAAATGGAAAAACGATGCCTAGAATACATCTGTCATGTTCAAATATTTCATCACGAAAACATGCAATATTGTAGACAAAACTACTTTTTGGTGCACATGCAAATTTCAAAAAAAATTCCATTACTTATAACTATAGCCAGTATCCCTTCTGAATTTTCACACAAATCGAATCACCCTTGTGTGAAGTGCCAGAACAAAAAAGTTTTATGTAATTCAACCCCAGAAAGTTTCAAAAAGATCAGAATCGATAAGGCAAAATCGCGGACAGACAGACAAACAGATATTTTGATTTTTCATTGAGATCCATACAACCGGCTAAGCCTATGAAGAGACAAAATGCGAATTCCCCTCATCTGTGCCATCTTGTATTCCATAGTTGAACTCAATTTAGTTACAATGAATTGAATCGAAAAAGAAAAAAAAAACAACAACAGTAACATGGCTACATAGATCTGTTGACCAGTGAGATACGTATAGCAATGGAATGAAAGAATGAAGAAAGCGTATATGTGTATGTATGCATCAGCACGCATAGATGTACAGCTCTGTGTGGCCGTGCTATTGTTGTTGTTTTTTCACTTTTTCATTTCAATGCTACAGAATTAAATTCAGTTTTTGCATCTAATTCACACTAAAATCAGATGGCGCTCATTAGCGAGATTCGCAAAAAAAAGTCTCCAATCTCATACAAATATACACCGGCTGGATCCATAAGACATTTTTCAGAATCCGTTTTTTGTTTAAACACACAAACACACTAGACTATCCCAGAAAAATTGAAAGTTAGGGGCTCATCCGGTTTTTATTAGAACGATCCAATACAATAACTTCTATTTTGTTAGAATGGTTTTTTAATTTCGAGAAGTGATCCCGAATTTGTGTTTCATATTTTTGACTTCTTGGTAAAAATTTATAAAATCGATAAAAAAACACTTCAATCGCTGTGCTTCAAACTTAAATATATCACTTGTTTTGGCTCTCTCAATGTACAAAATCGATTTAATGTTGAAAAACTAATACAAATTATCCCAGATATGAACGAGAGAGACGAACTTTATTTGTGTTTTTTACATCGCAATTTTTTTCTAGAGCAAAAAATCACTACAAATTGAGTCAATAATGTATCACTCCAGGCATGAAATTTTTTTCCATCAACCAAAGTCGCTCAAAATCTAATGATTTCTATTCCTCGGGACCCCCAATCATCCTGTAAAGTCAGATTTTGAATTAAGTTTCTACGATGAGCGCAATCTTGCTAACAAATTTTGCATACGACGTACAACGTACGACGTACAGATTATTAAAAACCATGTTTAAAAACGCCAAATTCGTGTTCTCTGACTTCAATAATGGGTAGAAAACATGTTTCTGAAGTTTTCAAAATTTTGACCGATTACAATACTTTTCACCTTACACTATGTGTGCGGAAAAGTAAAATGTTCAGCGTAAAAATCAAATGTATACAAATTGCGAGTGAAAATAAAATAAGTCGAGTTATTTTACTTTTATTCCGACTTCAAAGATATTTGGTTTTTACGCTACGATTTTCTCCGTTTGTATTTTGAGCAAAATATATTTGTATTCTGGTTTCGCTCAAAGACCTCATACGTTTATCTTTTATTCCGATGCTTTCAAATGTCATACAAGATTTCGTTCGTAAAAAATTTCATATACCCATTATGAACTTCCAGAATAAAAATCAAAAATGTGGCCATATAAAATGACACTTTGCAACGAACATAATGGCTTCAAATGGCCGCCAATCTATACATTCATCATTTACATTTCATTATCTCTTAAAAATAACGGCGTCATCATCTAAGTATGCACCCATCACAAACCCGTGGAACAAGTCGACGACAGCGCTTTGACAGGTGGATCACGCGAGAAACTTATCAATCCCTATTAACAAAACTACACTTGACAGTTATTGTATTGAATTTTGTACGGGATTTATTTATTATATAAATATAAAAAAAAAACAATGTGAAATGTGAATAAAAAAGATAAAAAATTAATGTCGTGACGAATTATGTAAAAAAACAAATATTATATGAGAGCCTGAAACCCAAAACAAATTATAAAAATTCTTTTCGGAAAAAGAGCATAAGAAATTAATATATTATAATGAATATAGAAAACTGAGAGTTAAAACAACACATAGAATACTGAGAGTAAAAGTAGCATATATCGATTTGCTGTTTTTACTCTCAATTCCGTATGTTGTATTTTAACTCTCAGTTTTTATTCTTCTCATTTTGGCACTGAAAATGTATTTGTGTTTATTTGGCACCGATAAATATTATATTTGCTTTTCGTCAAAAACATTTTATTTGGATTCGTATAGAACAAAATGTAATAGAAGAATTTGTTTACAAAGCAATAAAATAAACAAAAACAAATGCTCTAATTTCACGTCGCTACTGCGATACGATGAGTATACTGTGATTCCTATATTTATGCATTGACCAGTGTAAATCCAACAGCAATTTACCGTTATTCGCTAACACACCGAAGATATACAAATATGCTGGTCGTATTCGCACCGAATTTCATATTGTGTATTATGCGTATCTGTAAAATCTTATTTTTTTTTAATTGATCTGCAACGACAAAACTATTTGTCGATTTCTTAATTCAAAATTTGAATTTCAAATCATTGTTTTTCAGTTCACATTATTATTAGCCAAATAGGCTAGTGAATATCTACTGAACGATCGAAAAAACGTGTACGTAGACCGCTTTTGTATAAAAAATATCGCAAAAGAATATTGTAATGGCGCATACAACAAAAGGCAATAGACAAATTGCTGAAAAAGTGTTCAAAGTGCTATCAATCTGTACGAGTTCGGGAAAGTACTGCACCAAATTTGATGTGCTCCAATAAAAACTGATTTTCAATTCGTACTATTTAAAATCAAACTGGAGTAAAAAACGCTGTTCCTTCGATCACACATTAAAACGGCGAAAGTTAAAAGATGCCTCGTTGTATCCAAATCATTTTTGAAAGAGAGAATGTTGACAAACAATTCACTAAGTTAATCTCGTGTCATATTACATGAAAGAGAAAAAATGCAACGCATTGTGACGAAAGCTAAATATAATATTTTTCGGAGTCAAATAAAAACATATTTACTTTCAGAGCAAAAATGAGAAGAATAAAAACTGAGAGTTAAAATATAACATATCGCTCGTTTGTTTTGTCGCTAACTGAAATTATATTCTGTTTTAGTTCTCAGTTCTGTATGTGCTCTTTTAACTCTCAGTTTTTTTCTATCGTATTTTTCATTTAAAATACATTCTTATGCTTTTTTTCCGAAAAGAATTTTTATAACTTGTTTTGGGTTTCAGGCTCTCATATTTCAATTACTCAGCGGAAAGTATGCTTGAATACGCGTATACCGCTGCAAAGCGGTACCAATATATACAAACACACAAAGGTCGACTCATTTTAGATAACATTTTTATTTTTTACACCTATGACGGCTGATTATTTTTGTTTTTATTTTATTTAATTTATTTTCACTTATTTTTAGATTTTAATATTATTGAATATTTTTTAATTAACTTCAAATAACTCAGAAGCACAAAAAATCAGACATAACGACGCGGTCTTGTTTGTATAAAAAATTATCTTTTACATTTAATTTTAACTAATTTTTTATTTGATTTTATTTGAATTATTTTTCTGTTTTAATCTTTAATCTCAAATTTTCTGTTTGATTTGCGATCATATATTGAACAAGTTTGTATCAAATGTGGAACAAAAGTGTATCTCATATGATACACTATTGTTACATATTTGATAGAAACATGTTGAATATATGACTTTAAAGCGACCAGAAAATTTGTGATTGAATACTGAAAAAAATAACCTAAACAAAATAAAAAATGAGTTGAAAAAAATTTAAAAAATTTAAGGCTTTTAAACGTGACCGCATTGAATGAAACTACAATCCCTATTAATAAAAAATTTCTAAAAAAGTTAATTAAACAACATTAAAATCTAAAAATAAGTGAAAATAAATTAAATAAAATAAAAACAAAAATAATGAGCCGTCATTAGGTGTAAAAAATAGAAATGTTATCCAAAGCGAGTCGACCTTTGTGTGTTTGTATATATTGGTATAGGCGTATGAAATCACACTAGCCGCTGAGTAATTGAATTATAATATTTATTTTATTACATAATTCGTCACGATATAAATTTTTTTTATCTTTTTTGTTCACATGCACATTCTCTTTTTATATTTCTAAATAAATAAATATCGTACAAAATGTATAATTAATAATCAATATATAACTTGCTTAACAGCAGATTTCGATAGGGACAACTAATGACATTTTGTGATTTGACAGCTCGGCCACGGTTTGGCCTCCCTGTAAGTATGTTAGTTGGGAATTTTAAGAATTTCACGGCGAATGAGGTTTTGAAAAAAAAAACACACAAATATTTTATATGTATATATCAGCTTTGCCTTGTAGACCATGTAGAGATGGTTACGTGGAGAAAATATGTATTTGTCAAACATTCATACCTCTCAAAATAAACAACGTAAACAACACGAAATAAAGCTATTCTGGTGAATCATATAATATAAAATATTTGTGTGTTTTTTCAATTTTTTTTATTTATTATAAATTTTATTACTTATTTTCGTTATTATTATTGCAAAACTTATTCAATTTATACAATTTTGCAATTTTATTTGCAAGAAAAAAATATATGAGAACCTGGCGTGAAAGAGATGGCGCTTCTTAAATCGAGTCGCGTTGAAAGCCGTCTATGAGTGATACTCGGGTCACCCGAGTCGGGTGAAAGTATTGATATGGGTTAGAATATTTTTTTGTTTTCTGTTTTCATTTCAAAACGAATATTTTGTATTAAATCCCCATAATTTCTCTAAATAGAGTTATCCACCACCATCACCATCGCATATCTATCATAGGTCTTTTTAAATTAAGAAACTACCGCCGAAATCATGAGTCAAAAAATGATGAACCAAAAGTAATTGGTGAAATATAGAATTATTGCTTATTTTTCTTTCTATCGACACAGTTTGTGCTGCCGCTACACGACGATGACGACGACAAACGACAATAATCGGCCATGTCGGCAGTATCATCGAACAGTACGCGCACGCACTTGTGTTGGTGTGTGTGTGTACATTTTAGCTGAGACAATCATTTGATAAATTGTATATGTTATGTGTGGAGCTTATAAGATTACCATTGGTCATTAGTAGACTTGGATCATGGGTTTGTGGCTTGCGTGCTCCCTCGCACTATTTGTATGAAAAAATATTTTAAATAGTTCGAAAAAGACTTACCATTAACAGTTATAAATTGCGGTTTTGATTCAGCAATTTCAGCTGCATCTTGAGTTTGTACAAATGCAACCTGAGCGGTTATTTGTTGTGAATTGGAATTATTTGGCGACGAAGCAATTGAATTAGTAGGTAAAATGGTAGATACGGTAATTGGTGCCTCATCTGGAGAATCCATCTGATCAATTGGTACGACGTCAATAATTGAAACACCGTCAGAAGTAGTTCCCGCTTGAAGGATGTATTTCTTCTGTGGATAAATACAAAGGGGATTGCTTTCAGATTATAAAATCATATAAATAACAACAAATTCAGCTTACCTGTGTATGAGTCTGCATAATATGAATTGGAGTGTTAGTTGTTTCAGATACTTGATTGTCAGTGATGGTAACAATTTCACCATTAGTTGCTGAGGTGGCTATCGTGGTTGTTGAATGATTAGACTGTGTGGTTTTTGATGAAATCTGACTGCTTGGAGTAATTGTAACGAAGTTTCGTTGCAACGCCAATTGAGTTGCCATATCTCCAAATTTTCTTTTGTATCGAATGAGTTCGAGAAATTTTCTATTGGTATATGAGTCCGTGTTCCTATTTTTTCACAATAAATAGCGAAGGCTTTTTGTTTGATGTAATATGAGGGACGATCAAACTTGAATTCCGCAAAAATTCTATTCTGAAAAGTCTAAAAAGCAATAAATAATTCAAACTACCAATATACATTTAACTTGAAAATTCACCACAACGTATGTATGTAATGAAGTGCGAACATATGAAAAACAGAATAGAAGCGTTGTTTCTATGGTATCCAATTTGCCATTGCCACGGTAACAGTATACTTCACTTATTTTAATATGTTATTCGAGTATATATTTGGACCTTACTTGCAAAACATTGAACTTTTATTAAAAATTGAGAGTTATTTTATCATGATTATATTAGATTAACAATTGTACACATAGAAGTTACAACTAAACAACAGAAACTTCACTGTGAAAATGAATAGAAACTGTTTTATACTTTGCCGGTTACGTACAACGCTCAATCGTATGGCGGAAACAGTAAAAGTAACTGCTATTTATCTAACTGCATTTTACAGAATAAATAAAAAAGGACAATAATAATTATATGCGGCCAAGAAATGAACACATGCAGGAGGGGACATTATCGATCAAATATTTTCTTTTTTGTTATTTTATATTTGTTCCGATATATTTAAATGGTAGATTCGTTCTTCACTATAAAACCCAAACTTGAAAATACAATAGAAATAGGTTGGATATAAATTACAGTGCCCGTCAAAATTTTGGAACCACCTAGGTGAACTCAAAGACTTTCCATTTAAAAACCAGGGAATATTTTTCGCTGAATATTATTTATTTTGTTCTTCATAAGTTATTGAAACAACATGCCAAAAATTATTGATTTCTGAGAATAAAACCCCAAAAAACGGCATTTTACGGCATTTTTTATAAAATAACTTGGGGGTTCAAAACTTTTGACGGGAACTGTACGTTTTTTGATGTAGTCTTTGGAAATACCAATATTATATTAAATTTATCAAAACTTGACATTAAGAAATTTATCCAATATGGGGTTTTATCCAAAAAAGTTGAGGCACTTGGTTATATGCACACTTTGAAAAAAAGAATCTAACATTGACCACATGCTACTATGCATAGTATGATTAAAGACATGTGTGCTTTATTTTTACTTTTCGTGTTATAATTGTTTGGAACATTTTTCTATCAATTTTCGAAACACAATATGAGGGAGTATTTACAAATCAGTGAAGCGAAACGGCAAGCTGTTTCATTACAGTGCCAGCGTAAATGTCGTCGAGTATATTACATTGAGGTGTAATATTGGTTCATACATCGCACTAACAGCGTTTTGAACACCTGGATACCAGCCACTTTGAACTCATTCATAAGTTTGAATTCGGTAATATCTCTAGGGAAAAGGAAGGGAGAAATCACGTGACACTCGGAAAGATTATATTATGTTTTCTTTGAATCAAGTATCTATGATGAACCATTTCAAAAAATGTTGAAGTTCCATTTCACTTTTATATGGATCGTTATTTTTTGAGGAAAAGTAGTTAAATAAGTATACTGCAATTATTTACTTTGAATCAAGTTTGATTTAAAAACTTCAACGCAAGCGAATTTTATTTCCATGGAAGTCTAATTATAGCTTTAAAATGATGTAGATATTTTCAATTAGAATCTAGATATTTAAATTTTAAAAAATAACATCTAATAACCTTTATAAGGTGGTAAACATTTGAAAAATCTCCGAAATGAACCTTTTTTCAATTACGATAGCACAATAAAATTAGTTTTTGAATTCACTTATCAACATTATTGGTTTTTATTGTTTACGTTATGAAATTGACTTTTTTTATACAATTACATTTAATTGAATTGGCCAAAAAAATCTATAGATTTTTTATCAGTTGATTAACACAATGACTTCAATAATTGGTATTACATTAATTCTTGTTTCATGAACTTTAATAAATATAAGTAAACTCTGAAATGTAGAAATAAAGTAATTTTATAGAATTTGTTGTCTTGGTTGCTAAGTTTTTGTCGCCTTGACTACGTGAATACAAAAATATCATTTTACTTTGTTTATGTGTTTATATTCAAACGAAATTACATTGGTCATGATGCCATGTTGGACCTGCGCACTCAAATAAAATAGAAAAATTCGTTTTATATTAATCATACTTTTCAATCGAATTAACTACTCTTAAGCATCGTATTGTTTACTCGAAATGCATATTTTATTCTAATATATTTGACACTTTGAAATTTTGCTTTACTCAGACGTCAAATTTTATTTTTAAGTTCCATAGACAACTAAACGTCAAAAAATGTGAAGCTTCAGTACAATCTTTGGTCATTGAAGTGTCAAATAGAACGTGAGGTTATGTCTTTTAATCTATAGAAACCAATTGAAGCAAAATCATCAATTATCATCCACAATTTCACGGTCGAATACAAGGAAGCATTTAATATATGAAATAAAATTAATATTATTATTATTATTAAATATGTATATAATTTTATTCATTTTCAACTTCACTTAAAAAGAAGTGATAATAATGATTGATGAATTTATTCATAATCCAGTTACAAGATTCGCTTGTTAAATAATTCATAGGATATATATTTGTGATTTAGGTGGAGACGTCAGCTTGCTTATATGACTCTTGAAGTGTAAGTGACGCGAGATTTTGAAAATTATGTGTCTGCATATTTATCAATTTTACTGATATACCAAATTGTTTGAAATGTAAAACCTATCAAACTGTTAAATAATTTATTATTTGGTATAATGCCTGCAGGCATTGTGATCCCACTGAGATAAGCTTCGCTGATGCATTAAGTAAAACAGATCTGCTTGAACAATTCTCCTAATTTCAACATTTTACTTTTCCGCACACCTAGTGTAGGAAAGGTATTGTATTAGGCTAAAAAATTAAAGTCATCTCAAAACATGTTTTCTATGCATATTTAATGTAGAAAACACGATTGGAGATGATTTTGGGGCATATTAATGTGCGTCGCTGTGTGTGATGTGTCCTGTGTCCTGTGTCCTGTGGCGTGTTGCCAAAATTTGTTAAATCGATAAATATTTATCCAAAAACTCAATTCAAATTCTGACTTTGCAGGATGATTTGGGAGACGTGCTGATTAGTTTTCGGGCAATATCTGTTGACCGGTGTAATTTTTTTTGGTCCGAATGGAGTACCGACAATACATAAATTTTACTTTTTTGATCATTTTTCAACCATTTTGGTGACACGATGGTTTCGTGCTCAGACATGAAATTCAAAATCTGACTTTACGGGATGATTGGGCATTACGAGGAATAGATCTGTTCAAATTTTCAACGACATTGTTTGATCGATGTAAAACTTAGACTGTGAAGACTGAAGAGGCACTTATGAGAAAAATGCTTAAATTGTAATTCTTTCAATTTGAACGCTGAAAGACTGTGTAGTGGTGGATTTTTGGCACTAGAAACCCGAATCTGATGTTAGTTTTAAGATTCAATCAATTTTTCACAGACGTTTCATACAAAAATCCACAAAAAATTTCATTTTTGTGTGAAAGACATGCCTAGCACTCTCTCCCATTTCTATTTCAATTAAATTTGATTTAGGATTCGGAAAAAAGTTCACTCTTCTTCAGACTAAAACTTAAGGAACTTTAAAAAAATTGAGCAATTTGGTATAGAATTGTCAAAATGTCTTCCGGAAAAATATTCGGGAAAAAAAATTCGGGAAAAAGTTTTTTCGGGATTTTTTTTTTCGGGAAATTGTCTTTCGGGAAAATATCCTTTTCGGAAAAGGGGCTATTGCGATTTCGGGAAAATGTATTTCGGGAAATGTGTTTCGGGAATTAGTGCGGTCACCGTTTGTTTCTGTTTTTATTTAAAAATAACAGAACATTCACAAGCTAACAACGTTATAAATCGAAACTTCGCCATCATTCGAATGAATGAATTTGTTACATCGATATATTCTATTGTTTTTGAAAAAAAGCGTATGAATTGTGACAACATAAGGTTATCCCAATGGAACGAAATGAAATTTGGTCCATGTGATGGATCGAAAAAAGAGTTCATTTTAAAGTTATCAATGATTAAATTCTTTGGATTTTGAGTTTAAGATTGGCTGTTAGTTTTGAGATTTTGATTTTCAAAAAGCCGACCATTACCTCAACGACCAGATCTAATTTGTAATATGAATTCACTTTAGGGCGATCCCAACACTGATCAAAGATGAATTAAACGCCAAAGTCATACGACCGCAGTACCGCGACATTATTGTGACCCTGGCGAGATTTGAATACCAAAGAAGAGGTAATTTTTATAATAATTGAAAGTAATTGATATCGTGAATACAATACCATTTTCGTTGTTCTTATTTTGTTGGTTGAATTTGCGTATATCCAGCAAATGTTATCACTGGGAAAGCCAGAAGAATCACACGATTGTTCACATCCGAAGAGAAAAGTGATCGTAATCGGGTTGCAGCTACTTTTGGGTGAAATTCCATCGTGAAAAAGACCAACATGGCTTTCCTAACTTGAACGTTGAATTCGAGTAATGGTGGCATTGAAATGTACACGTGTAAGCAATATGTACGCTTGGGATTAATTAAGCATATCAATTCGTGCAATTGACAAAACAGCTTGCAAAATGGGTTGCAATCAACTATATAAATCGGAGCCGGCGGATCAACACCAGCCAATTGGCCGATTAAGATAAAAAAATGCACTAGTAAGCTGAAGAGTAGCTAACTTAAAAATTACTATTCCATTACTCTACAATTCCTGATCCATTCCTTCGATTCATTTTCCATTCTGTTCCATTACTTATTGATTCGTATATATATGAAACATGCTGTATTCGAACATTGTCAATTTAAACATTGACATTTGTACATACGGTTTTTATGTCAAAGTGAAAATGCAAAACAAACATAAACAATTGACATCAAAACTTGTTTGAATAGTAAAATCGTTGTTTAATTTGAAATGATGAAAATTAAAAAGAAATTAGACGGAAAAAGTGGAAAAAAAATCATACAATACAATTGGAGTAGGTGTCAGTTCCATCTGCATATCGAATGTAAATCAACAAAATATCTAATAAGAAGAAGTATAAACAAGATATGTACAGCTTGTCGCTACGAAGAACCACAAAACTGCGTTTGAATTGCAAAAGAATTGAAGTTTTGATAAACAAAATGGCATCATGCATAATGTGCTAACAATACGTTCGATTGTTTTCCAATTCCAACAAAATAACGTACCGTTACCGGCTTTGTACATGTGCCAACATGAAACTAGACATACAGAGCTAGTAGTCATAGCAAAGTGAGATACGCATCAGACCCAGACATTGAACAACAATTGAAGTGATCGGACGCATACATTATTTTGTATTCTTGATCCGTCGACACAGTTAGTTTTAAAATATTTATTTAAAAGTTTTGTTTAAAGTTTGCTGAATTTTTAGTTGACAGAAGATGAAACGACGTCGCAAACCCACTTCTGTTCAACGGAAAAAGCCATTGAAACGGCAAAATCAAAGCAAAACGAGGTGAATCAAAGAATAAAAACGAAGAAATATTCACCGTGGTGATGAACACTGAATCAATTTTCCCAGACAAACAACGTCTGAGTGAATTGATTGAAAGAGTTGTGGCCAATTCCTCAAAAATGTTCAAATTGGCATCGCTTTATGTGCTCTTCATATTGAATCGGTTGGTTGACAGTGGTTCCGATGTCGAAATCCGTCGTGAATTTTTGGCCAAATTCAATGCAATGAGGAGATATTTCAAGAATTTGAGTGCAACAAAACACCAAATAAATAAAACCATGGACTATCTATGTGACCGAAATTCAACGTGCCGACCAAACGCCAATTTACTGAATCGCTATTTGGAAGAATTGAAACCATTGGTGCCACCACAAGCGGTACAACCACCACCACAGCGACGGCGACGACAAACGCCACCACGGCGTGGGCCTCAAAGTGGACGAGGACGGCAACAACAACCGTTGCCAGTGCCACGCGGTTGGTTGTTCGAGACGCACAGCAAATATGACTGGTAAATTTAATATATATACTTTTATTCATATCGCATATTCATTCATTCATCACTAAACTAAATTTCAATCGATGTTAATCTCTTTCTCCATCATCATCATCAAATTTTCTATGACAGGTACAAGTACGTTTACGAATTGCACAATGCAAACAATCCGCATTGAAAGTGGTCATCGTTTGTGGCGGTGCCACAATCAAGCAATGCCAATCATCATGCAAGATTCGACACAGAAGGATTCATATTGCTAACGAATCTCTTGTATGAAAGAGGTACTGGTGAAAAAATCCCATCTTGCAGAGGTCGGTGGTCGCATGCCCAATACAATGCATTTTGGCGTCGATTTGGAAATTTGGACAAAATCAATAAGCCGAGTCAACAGTTTGACTTTTCATTCACCACCGATGGATGTTCAGCCCATTTGAAAATGATTCAGCGATCTAGGAATGTTAACAACACCAACACCAACACCGACACCAACAATAATGATGATGATGTTGATGATGACAATAATGCAGTTCCGAACCCAGAACAACCGGATCCAGTGCCGCCAATCATTCAATGTGCTTACAATTCAGGACAAATTGAGAGAATTATCGGTTGTGATCCGGGCTACAGGGAATTTGTGGGGGTTTTACGCAAAGATTTAGCGACCGATAATGAAGAAAATTTTCAGAAATCATCGAAAGAGTGGCACCATATGACCGGTTTTTTCGACCGTCAATACAAACTGAAGCGATTTAGCGTTTGAGAAAAAATGTCGTAAACTGCGTGAAAATCGTGAAATCTATCAGGAAACGCCATCGAAGAAAAGTGCCGACTATCGTACCTATCTGGATTACCAGCTGCAAATATTCAATGAATCATTCGAGGTATTTATTAATTTTTTTCTCTCTCTTTCTTGATTTGATTTGATTTCATCTTATTGATGTTTGTCATTCATTCTTAATTATTACAGATAAAGTACCAAAAACGTGTGGTTCGTTTAAATTTTGTTGCATATAGACGTACGCAGGTAGAATTGCATGTGTTGGTGAAGCAAATGACAAAAGTCGATCGTGAAATGTCGGACGCTGAGAAAACAGTGGTATTGGCATTTGGTGGTGCAAAATTTGCATCAAATTCACCCATCTACATTTTGAGATGAACACATTTGAGTACGGAAATAAATTCAGCCGACATATTTCCATCAATGTATGAAGTCTATATATGTGACAGATCAACACTCACTGAAAAAGACCAACTACGTAGCAAGGAAAGAGGAGGCGGAGTATTGATTGCAGTCAGTAACAAATTCAAGTCAATTTGCATCGAAGCGGGAGACCAATTCGGAGCGGAACAAATTTGGGTCAAAGTAGCTGGTATTATTATTTGGGTCAGAGTAGCTGAGTTGAGACTGGATAATTTTTATACAATTATTAAGTCATCAGGAAACAACCGATGTGGTTTATCAAGTCAATGAGTTGAAGAACAAAGTCAGCAAAGCGCATCGAAATAGAAAATTGCTCAACAAAGTCGAATCGATTGAACATTACAAACAAATAAGAAAGGAATATAAACGAAGTTCACGCTCAGCTCTCAAAGACTAGAGAATAGAGATGGAGAAACAGATAGATGATAATCCAAAGAAATTGTTCAAGCATGTGAATTTCAAAAAAAGGGATAAGTGAAGATCTGCCTCATGAAATAACTTATATGGATGAAAAAGCCAACGACCAATCATCAATTGCTGGTTTTTTTTGCAAAACACTTTGGCACCGCTTACAGCAATTTAGAGGGTGATCTGCGATATGACAGCTCTGAGAGAGAATAGAGAAAATACGTGATATTTGTGCTGAAATATCAATGATCGAAATAACAGAGGATCTAGTTGGTCAACATATAAGCAAGCTGCCAGATAATCTAGTCTGTGGTCCGGATGAAGTTTCAAATAAATTCATCAAGCATTGTTTAATTTCATTGCAGGGGCCAATCTCAACACTGTTAAAGGAATCACTTGAAACTGCCACTGTACCGCAAATATGGAGAGCGTTCATTTATCAAATAGTTTAAACTATTACGATTCAGCGCATAATATACGGGCTACACCATTTTTTGATATACCAATAAGAAGGGTAGGGTCCTTTAATTTCTGGTGAAATAATTTCTACACTTAGAGAAATAGTTTCTGAATTTACTGAAATAATAAGAAGAAGTGATTACACAAAATATGAACCAATTATATGATTATAACTTTCAATGATTATTATACGAAAAAAATGCCTAACAGTGATACTAATTTAATTGATTTAAAAGTAAATTTATCAACAGTAAAACTGAGAATTAAAAAGTACTTAAAACAAAACAGATGAAAAGAATTATTGCTATATAAAAATTAACTATATTATATTGTATTTATTTGAATTATTTTTAAATAAACCACCAATGCGAAGGAACGCTGTTCAGTGCAGTTATTATTATTATTATTATTATTATTATTATTATTATTATTATTATTTGGACATTGCCAAGGCCTTTGACTCGGTTAACTGAAATTTACTTATTCCAATTGGTGCAACTTTGTTCATCATGTTTGTAATTGATCTACCTTTCGTCGTGACCGATTCTACCATACTTTCATTCGCTGATGATACAAAACTTTCGAGATGTATCACCCCAACAGATGACTGCATTAATCTTCAAAATGACTTGGATCGTGTAGCGGTTTATTATGGACGCAATTTATTAAAATTAAATGTCAACAAAACAAAAATAATATCATATCATCGGGAATCACTACAATATGAATACGAATACAACATAGGTGGCGTTCAAATTGAAAGAGTCTTTATAATAAGGGACTTGGGAGTGTTGCTTGATGTGCAAATGAATTTCAAATCACACATTGAGCATGTCACGGCTAAAGCCAAATCAAGACTGGCTTGGTTAAAGTTCTACAGCAAGGATTTTATCGACCCATGGACAATTAAGCGCCTTTATTTTACATTCGTATTATCAATTATCGAATATGGATCGGAAATATGGAATCCACACTTCGACAATATGTGCAAAAAAATAGAGTCAAAACAAAAACAATTTTTACATTTTGCGCTAAGTAGAATGAACTGGGACAGTTACAAGCTTCCAAAATATGAACATAGACTGCTGTTTTTTTTTTTTTTTTCAAATTATTACGCTTGAGGAGAGACGCAAGGTGGCGCAAGTGTCTTTCATCTTCAAAATTATTAATGGAGATATGAAGTCGAGTCATATATCAAACAGTTTAAATTATTATGATTCAACGCATAATACCCGTGCAATGCCGCTTTTTGATATACCAATCAGAAGAAGCGATTACACAAAATATGAATCAATTAACTTGCTTATAATTAACGTAGCTTATTGTTCTTGATTTTTCTGCTCTATTGAAGTCATATTATATACGTATTTAAACTCATTTTACTTCAACTTGAATTAAATCGAACGTAAGTATTTTGCATTGACAAATTTTCGATGTCATTAAATTTTTATTAGTGATACGACGCTTCATTAAAATGAAAACATCTTAACCAGAATACCTCAAAATTGTGTAAAATTGTGCTCTGTAACCCTTTCAATAACCGATTTTCTTACCCATTGGGGGGCAGGGGCACGAAAGGGGGGCACCCTCGGATAGCCCTATCGATTACCTTTCCAACGATATACATATGTCCGGGTATTTCAAAAAAAGTTTAAAAATGATATTGAATGGAAAAATGCAATTTTTTCGATTTTTGACCATTTTTTCGAAAATTGATTCCTTAATTTTATACGACTTTGTGAGAAGTTGGGTCCCAAATACTTCCAGATTTTGATCGATTTGATATGGACTCTTCGATGTACATTCCATCGACCGGTTCCAGAAGCAAATCCAAATCTTCAACCTAAACAAAAGAAAAAGAGATACAAGAAGTAGTTGGAACCGAAAACAACATTTATATTCAATCGCGATATAAATGCAGCGAGAAATATAATTTAAAAGGTATTGTACATGTTGAATCATCTGCCGATGCCAAATTGTTTCCGACCATTCAGGCCATTATTATTATGACAATTTAAATTAAAAATATAAGCACGGACATCTACGCAAACATTCTCATAATGGGAATCTCATTGTTCCAAACAATGATACCAAGACGTAGTAGTGGACGATGCTAACAAGTACTAGAAATAGTAAGCATATTTTTTTTCTCTTTTCACAGTGGTCAACGAGCTCAACACTACTGCTACTACTAAATCTCAAATTAAAGCAATGTTTGGTCATTGATTTTGCGCTTAAACAATATACTTACTTACCCTAGTTCGGGGGTCAAGCCGGAATGTTAACAATGGATATTACCTTTCTATGGCCAACTTCAGTAGTAGTTAACAACATATTTCTAACAATAATTAATTTAGAAAAAGATTAAGACTATTTAATTCAAATTTCCACGAGACTCCATTCTAAACAACAAAACATCCCCGAAGTGAAACAGTAAGAAATCACGGGGATTCCGTTATTATTTAAGCTAATATTTAATTTTAAGTCACAAAAAGTTAAGTAAATTTCGGAGTATATGTAATGCTAAAATTCAATTTATTCTAGGAGAGTGTGAATATTTGCGCTTATGTTTAATTGTGTGTACAGTAAAATTCTGATTCAAATCGTACTAGCATTAATGTAAAGCATCGATTGATATTGACACTTCCCGCAGCAAAAAACTCTTTTCAAAATCAAATAATGCTTACCTAAAAACACTAACTAATGTACTCCTGTCTTTTAATTATTGAGCTCAATGAACAAAAAACAATAATTTATTATTGGAAATGGTTTTATTGTTTTTCAAAATATTCTCCGTGATGTTCGATATACTTTTGGATTCGACGAAACCATTTGTCATAGCATTAATGCCACTCCGAAACTGATATCTCAAAAACGTTTTTTTTTTTTTGAACGCATCAACTGCATCTTCTGGTGTCAAAAATCGTTGACCACGTAGTTTTTTCTTCACGCTCGGGAACAAAAAGAAGTCATTGGGTGCCAAATCAGGACTGTACGGCGGATGACCCATCAGATCGATGTTTTGACTGGTCAAAAATTGAGTTATTTGTGCTGATGTGTGAGAGCTCGTATTATCATGATGAAGAATTATTCTGCGACGGCGGTTGTTTTTTCTAAATTCACCAAACACTTCTGGCAAACAAATGGTGGTGTACCAATCAGAATTGACCGTTCTACGATCCTCTAGTGGAACGGTTACCACATGTCCACTTATCGCGAGAAAACAGGCGACCATTTGCTTCGCAACACTTCTAGCTCGAACAACTATTGTTAGATTATCTTCACTTTGTATCCATACAGTCAACTGCTGTTTTGTTTCGAGCTCATATGCATAAATCCATGACTCGTCATCTGTGACGATGTCATAAACGTCTCATCGGTCAATTTATGTGGGATCCAACGAGAGCAAACTTTTTCACGGCCAAATGTTCATGCAAAGTCATGTGTATGCTTTTCATAGAAATGCCCAATGATGCCTTAATCTCACGGTATGTCACATGACGATCTTTCATTATCATGTCTCTGACAGCATCGATGTTTTGTGGAACAACTGATTTTGGACCTTCATGGGGCTCGTCTTTGAGCGAACGACGACCACGATTGAATTCATTGTACCAGCGTTTCATTATGAATGGATTCGCGTGAAATAGCGAAACAGTGCATGGAATAGGAAAAATAGTTTCGATTTCACATTTGTGTTTTTGGATTAGTGGAATAGCTGGATTAGTAATTTATATAGTGTATTCGGAATTTATTTTTGGTGTCTCCCCCTAGCAAAAAGCAAAAATTGTTTTCGAATTGACTCTATTTTCTAGTAATTCTGCAAATCATAAATATACTAACCATAGTAACCATTGGAGAATTTTGTTACTACAAATGATTCATCAAACAACATGTAGCTATGTGTACAAATGCCGCATAAGGCGAGAGTAAATTTACAAAATATTTCACAAACGTCAAAGTATGAAGAGAAGTTCATATTGGCGCCATCTATTGCTAACTTTTTTATTATATTTTATTGTGAGTATGTTTACCAAGTCATTTTGGTAAGTTTTTTGAATTTTACGTCAACTGAATTGGTCTGACTGCTCGGCATGACAATGGTTTGCATCGGGCAACAATAATATCGGCAAGGCTCAATAAATAAAAGGCAGCCCTCGTATAACCAATGTTTTATTTGTTTTTTTTAGCGTTGTGCTAATTAGACAGCATAATCAGCTGGCTGCTGGTCGTACTCGAACATTTCTACATCATTATCCACGTTGGCGGAAGCAGCGGCGGCCGCTTCAGCGACACCAGCTGCTACTTCGGAGTCCTCAGCAAGCTTTGTACAAATGTCTATTGATCGCCTCTGGTATCGGAACTTCCGGTTAGGAAGTCCCAGCAATGTCCAATGTCCATAGTCCTGAACAATCAAACAAATGGATATTCTTAAGCAATCATTAAGCAGCGGTGTACCTAGAGGTCAGCTTTAGGGGGGGTTTTAATTTTTTTTTCGTCAAAAGCCCTAGCAAATTGAAAGATTTTTTTTATCAAAAAACCTTAGCAAATCGGAAGAAAATTATATCCATAAAGCTATTCTATCTGGTGTAAACCTCCATTTCATTTTTGAGAAAATTGAGAAACAAAAATGTTTTCAGTCTTCAAAAAATGACCCAAAACTTTATACCATCCTCCACTCAACAGTCAACATTCAAACTTCAGCCCAATAAAAGCTATAAAATTAAGACGAAGAAAAAATATAGACACTATTTTACTGAAGACTATTTATAATGGTAAGAAGGCCAAAAATCGTAATTTTTTAAATGATGAAGTGCGTTAAAATTCTTGCTTCCAGTATTATATAGCATATCTAATAGCATATCTAATAAAAACAAATTTTTCACTTCTTAAAAAAATGAGTGAATGACTGATTGTGACCAAGGCCTACTCTAATAGATGGTTATATACTTTACTGAACTAGTTGACTTTAAGTTTTGAAGAATTGCATATGAGTGGATATTTAATATTACTTCAATTCCAGACATTATATTGAGATATTTTCAGCCAGATGAATCAGCTCAGCCATATATCGTCAGGAGATGAAATTGAGTGAAAACAATAGAAGTGATTGTTATGGCTATAATTACAATTACATTGCTACAATAACTATATAACAATCACTTTTATTGTTTACTTACTGACGATATCTGGCTGAGCTGATTCATCTGGCTGAAAATATCTCAATATAATGTCTGTTCGATTCTCATCCTTTCATATATCATATGGTTTTTGTGGTACCGAAATATTATCAAGATAATTCCAACAGCTTGTAGATACATTTTGGGTATAAGAAGTTTTCTTCACTTTTTTTTTCATTCGTATATAGAGTTTTTAAAATAATTTAAATTGTAACTTATATTTAATTCAATCATGGAGAAAAAAAGAAATAAAATATTAAAAATAAGGCGTTAGGAAATTTTTCTCTGTATTTTTGAATTTTTTACATCTTCCTCCCTAAAAATCAATTTTATCAAGTGTATTCTCAATGGGGGGGAATTTGAACCAAACACCATTTCGCATATTTTGGCCTGTCTGCCAGTGGAACTGCTTGCTCGACATTACAAAGTTGATCTGAAAATAAATAAAAAAATGATTAGTTATCGAATTTTGGCACTTACGCAGTGTATTTTCAATTGAAACAAATACAACATAAATGTATACAAAACTTACTTCTTTGCCACTTTTAATGTTGTGTGTTACTGTGGTATTCCAACTCCACACACCTGTATCAATGCCCGCAAAATTTTTGAATTTTATGCCAACATAATCATTTGAACTATGCGAGAACGGTTGATTTCTTTGTTATTTGTCTTCTTCTTGGCCGAGTACTGTAGCGATTCCATCGGTGTTTATGGAAAAGTCAAACTTTTTTTTTCTCGCGCACGAATCACCGAATTTTCCGCATGTAGAAATACTGATTCCACCAATAATCACTCGCTATTATTATACTCGCGGAATATTTGTTATGCTTGTTTTTCCGTTTTTATTTTCGATTTCCACTTTCGGCTGCAATTTTTGCGAAGACAACACCTAGTGCATGCATGAACAGTCCATTTTGAAGTACTTTCAGCGAAAATCACACATCGGCACCATTGCTAAATTCCGTATGAATGGCCGAAACTTTAGATCGTCGAGCATTTGTTTGCGCTTGAGATATCGCTTGCGTGTCCCCTAGATATCGCTTGCCACGGTTCTGATGTGGCCACGTCAAATTGTACTCTTCTATTTTTGCATAGATAGGAACATTGACATGACCTTAAACAAATGTTGTGCGTTCGAGTTTGTTTGGAGCGTGAATTGAAACTTTGATGTCTTTTTGTTTGATAATCAGTTTCACAACACTTTTGACGTCACTTGGCAAAAATTTCTGTGCGTCCTCTTCTCCGTCTGTGTTCAATTCGAACAATTTCAGTTTCAAGTACTGGGTGATGTGTTTGTAAGGATGCGTTATTGAATTGGTGATGACGTTGTCTGTGTATTGATTGGCCAAATGCTTGAGGCCATTGTTGAAATCATTATTGTTGTGCCAATCGATACGATGGTAGTCGTCAAAACCTTCGACAATTGCTTTGAATTCAGAATCGATACTTGGCAGCTATGCTCGTAGTCCTCGTGGCTTTGTTCCTTGTGGTTTGTAACTCGACTTTTTCGGTTTCGGTGGCTGATTGTTATGCCATAGCACTTGGTTAAAGTGGAGTTGGATCTTTTTTTCTCCACTTTCACCAAAGAATGCGAAATCATTATTGTCAATCACCAAGTGTTGAAAAATTCGGATCAAATCGATACAAGACGCACGTATATCGAAATTAACATGAATTATCAGCAAAATCGTAGAATAATTGAAACGTTGAATTGGAATTTACACTGCTGTAGTTTATATCGTAATAAGATGTAAGATTGATTTGTTGACTTGGTATTTACAACGCCAAACGTGTTCTCGATATGAATCATTCGGCGTTTATGACATTTCGAAAACCAATGAAATGAACGTCAAATGTCATAAGGCTCGGTTCACATCAATAATACTAAAAAATATTTAGATATTAGACAATTTTTGCTTTAAAGAGTTTTTTGCTTCGGGATGTGTCAATATCAATCGATGCTATAGGAATACGAAGGAATTAAAAAGCTATATGCACTTGGAACAATTTTCGAAACAATACCGAAATATCGAGCGAAGGTTAAAAAAATCGCCACGGCAAGCTCTGGCCATCGAAAATGGAAATCTTTGGATTCTAAAATGCTTATATTTTAGGAAATTCTGCATAGTGTTAAAAATCTGAATTAATCAATATCAAAAGTACAAAAAAAAGAATAGAAACGGAAAATGGTCGAGAGTTAAAGTATTAGAGAGAATATAAACTCATAATCCAAAAGTGGAGAGAATTCTTTTTATTATGAAAATAATCAGAAAAATAATTAATATAAATCTCATAATTTGAAAAATCATAACAGCTACGATCGATGTACTGGAAATCGATCAATATGTTTTTCGCTTCAAAATCCCGAAAAATCCAAGTGTCGATTTTTTTTCAAATTCGAAGTTAATGCAAAAAGCAAATGATCACTGTGGAATGCCTTCACCAAAACAAACAAGGAGAAACCCGCTTGGTCGCTATGAAGGTTTTTTCTTTATGTTTTGTTATCGTTTTTAGTTTGTTTTCAATAAACTATTTATTTAGAGCTACATGAAATGGAGGGAATTGCATTTGTTATGTTTTTTTATTTATTGATCATATTTACTGTTAATTGTTTAATGCCTATTAATTTTTAACAAAATAATTATTTCAAATACTTTTGAATGAGTTGATCTAAATAAATTATCTATAAATTTTATTTATATCTACTACTTTGGACAAATATAAGCAGGACTTTTACATTTTGAAGGAGTTTTATCATCCCCTTTATTGCTGAATAGGTCCATCCTTCATGCACTTCTATGCCAAGTTTTAGCGCGGTACAATAACTACCAGTATCCATTTGTTTTTTTATACCGCAAGTGACTTTTGCGATTTTCATAAAACCAGACTAGTTTGAAGCAAAAATAAAATTTCAATTCTTCATGACAGGTGCTTGGTATGTTCAGCAAAATTGTTGGCCAGTCCATAAACTTTAATCATGCCGATCGTGTATCGATTTGCCCTCATGCATGTTTCGATTTTCCCCTCATGTATCGATTTACCCCAAAAGTATTTCTTCACATTTTTGGTTTGACACGGAAACCATGTCAACTAAAAAATTTCTAATGATGCAATCCACTATCAAATGGTATTCATCGTTTTCTAATATCATTTCAATTGGTTAAAAAGTGTATCGATCTGCCTCCTTATTCATTTAGTTTGAATTAACCACCAAGGCGAAGGAACGCTTTTAGATGCATTTATTATTATTATTATTATTATTATTAGTTTTCTCGGATTGGTTTAGTAGATTTACAAAAAATGAGCATTAATCGAGGCAAGACGTAATTTATTATTATTACTATTATTGTCTTAAAAACACATTATTAAACTATATTTTTTATGTCATAAATCGAAAGAGCATTGAATTCTTAGCAATTTTGCAAATTTTCAGGATCAAAATTTTAGAGGATGGGTTAATATTGACCAAAGTTTTTTTTTGTTTTCTTTACAACCGAAGAATTTTGGGGCCAACCGTTTTAGCCGATAAATTTGTAGTTCTGAGATAATCGGCTTGGTACCATACATTCTCAAGGGCCAAGGAGGAGATATTTTTCTCGAGTTCAAGTTGGAGTTTTCGAAGTTATTCCAGACAATTTTTGAATTAAAAATAACCATGTATATTATATTATTATAGGGAATTATCCAGGGAATATAAATATATATTCATCTGCTCGAAAAAAATCCTGATTTTGCCCATCACTATATAAAAGTTTTAAAGTGATAAATAAACCTTGGGAAGGAACAATGTTGGTATAGATTAGAATTTAGAATTATTATTGAGCTACATATTTTGAACTATTTTTGAATTTATTTTTATTTCTCTTCTTGAAATGTTCCATGATTAATTTATTCATTTAATAGAACATGAAATTAATAAAATCTAGTATAAAGCAATTTTTGTGATGGCTGCTGGAAAAAAATAAATGTTTGTCATTCATGAAAAATATTATTTGCGCGAGTAGTATTGCGCGTTACACATTCGTATCATAACCCAAACATTTACACTCTTATTCACATTTATACGTTCATACACATATACATTCGTATATTTGGAGGGTAAGTTTACTTACATTTTTCATATTATATTATCGGCAAGTGGGAACGAAACCTATGTCGCAATCGATTCAATGAACGACGCAATGTCACACACCTCTAGTAGAGGATAGATATCTTATTTTAATTTCATACATAAAGCAGTGAATTTTAATTCAGTCCGGGATTAGTTTGTCCGAGTCTATATCTACAGTTTTGTTAAATTTTTGGTAATTTCGATCCTTTCTTTGTACTAAATTAAAATAAATTTGAAGTGCATACGAAGTTTGTCTTTAATAAAAATACACAGTTGATTGCAAACGAAAAATTCCCAATGCGCAGAGAACCAACATTAGAACAATGTAATAACATTAGATTTTTCTACATTTCTGAAATTGAAAGTACATAATTTTTTATAAAATACATATTATAATGGCTAGTGTGAGTGGTTTGAATGGGTAGTTTTGATACTAATTTTATAATGAGCTATGTTAAAATTCAGCATGCTATTTATAATATCATTCGATTTTTGTAAGCTTATGTCATTTGAATAAGAATCCAAAACAGGGTAAAAATGTAGCGAATTCTTCAAATTTAATTTTCTGTTTCGCAAGTAATAAAACTATATTTTGTTATCTAATAATTACAGTCAACAAAGGAAAAAGAATTTGTGTTTCGGTGTTTCAGTTAAAAGCATGAAGCATTATTTTATCGATCCGCTTTGGAAATTGGTACGAAGAAGAACATTCACTCGCTTTGTCTATATGAAATAGTGTATGTTGTAAGTGTGTAAATGTGTAAGTGAGGCTGTGTCGATTTACGTGCGTATGTGCGGCTCTCCAAAGGGATGTCTACTATCATTTTTGTATGGAAAGTGATTCTTAAGTTAGTACATCTGCACGTTGCCTCTCTTTGACTGTCGAAAGTGAATACATACGTATATAATATTGAAGATTTGAAAAAAGCGCTATCATTTTCTAATTTGCTAAGCAAAATATCAACGCTTCCAATGAAGTTTAAATAGTAAAATTTGCTTACAGAATTGTACTCATATAACAAACCAATGGTGTAAGCATAAGTGGATAAAAATGGGTGGAATATTAGACGATATTCGTGAATTCTAGAAAGTAGACACATTTTTGTTTCGTTTGGACACATCGCTGACAAACGAGACTTTACCACCTGATCTCTACACTCATGCAGTGGAGGAAGCTTACAAGACTGAAAACAGCTACTGGAAATTCGCGTACGCGAAGGATGCTTTGCTGTGGCAGAAGAAAAGTGAGTATTACATACGATAGAGAAAATAAATAAGAACTTATTGTATTTGATTCTATCTTGAATTTACAGATTTTTTTTTTCTGTAGGATTTTTTTTTGTTTTAAAAGTTTGTGAGGGGCTTTGGATTACCTAGTTTTGGAGACTCATACGGGTTTTTAAAAATCATGATTAAATTATGTTATTTTTTTAATTTGTGCCGGCTTTGTGCTAGAAAAAAATACGTATATCATTGTGGTAAAATTTCGAAAATCATTGACAATATTACCACCATCTAGAGATTATACATTTATACATGCTGTGCATGTTCAAATAAACCACTAAACAATAGCGATAACATGGTTTTTCAGCGACGGCGCACAAAATATTTATGTATACTACTTCATACAGATATTGGTTTTCTTTCATGTATGTGTGATACATAAAAGAAGCGGCAGACGAAACAAAATATAGGTTTTACGATTTATATTGATTGTAGCGCAGGCGTTGCCAGAGCATTCCATTTTCATTTCATTTCGTATTTTCTTTATTTAAATATAAATTTTTTTTTTATTTACAAGCTAAAGGAACAATTAGTTACTATTTTTTCAATTTAATTTAGCTCTGCATTCATTGTTTCATCTACATTTGCTCATAACTAGTTTTATGTTTTGGTTGATTCTATTTTTTATTTAATTTCACTTTTAGGAAAAAATTAAAAAAAGATCTATATTGATTTTTTTCTATTTTGTATGATCGAATGTTGGTGTATGGAGGTGAATGGATGATGAGCCAGAGCATTCCAAATACACAATAATAGCGATATATATAAGCGGTATTGGTCTATCCTTGTGAAAAAAAATGACTGACTGACTATAAATTAAGTCAATTTTAATCACTTTTATTCGGTAAAAATTACCAATAGATGATTGAAATCGAATATAGTCGGTTATGTTTCAGAGTTAACTAAAAGTGATTAAAGTCAACATAGTTGACAAAAGTCAATTTCATATACTTATAGTTAACCGTAGTTAACTATGATCACAATCGACATTTCTCAACTCAAGTTACATGAAGACGCATATAGTCACTTATAGTTAACTTTAGCTGGCTGAAATATCAGCCATTTTTGTCCCAAATTAGTCAATTTATAGTAGACTATGAAGTCGAAATATTTCCACACATATATTTCACAATTTATATTATTTGTATGATAAGACATAAAAGTAGAATGGCAAATTTATTTACGAGATATTTTTTTTACAAATTCTTAAATTCAGGAGGTATTGCTATTTAAATTTTTTTAAATTCATATCCAATTCAGATGTTTTAGAACTAATTTTAATTTTTTTTTATTAGGAAAATGGACGTTCGGTTCCTGACCTAACTGCAAGTCCAGGTCGAGCACCACCTGCTCCAATGCCAACAAATCAGAATGCAGCGTCAAATCAGAGACAAATAAGTGTAAAGGACCCAGTTTTATTACAAGGAGATTTCCGTAAAGTATCTGGCATCAGCTCAGAAATATTTCGACAAATTGAAGCTGTAGAAAATGATCACGATACTAGTACAGCAGCAGCCCTTGAGGTATTACCAAAATCGCCCAATATTTTAGTGCATATGTAATAGTTGCGACAATTTTTTTCAAATTCACAGGCTGTTGAACGACGGGGAGAAATGATAGTTAGAGTCCTAGAAGCTAGATGCATCGGTGGTAGGCAAGCAGTTGAATCTGCTCAAAAACTTTTAGCCAAGGGTGATGCAAGACATTCTGTACAATTGGTAGAAATAGTTAAAAGGCCGGGACAAACATTGGGCTTATATATACGTGAAGGAAATGGCGCCGATCGATCAGATGGCGTTTTTATATCTCGAATAGCTTTAGAGTCGGCTGTTTATAATAGCGGATGTCTTAGGGTAAGTAATTTGAACACTCGTTTTTTAGATGTAATAACTACTATCGTTCCAACATCTACAGGTTGGAGATGAAATATTAGCTGTCAATTTGGTAGATGTAACTCACATGTCACTAGATGATGTTGTGATAATAATGTCAATTCCAAGAAGACTTGTGCTTGCAATTCGGCAGCGTCGTGGTGGTCGTGGGAGCAACTCGCCTGGTCCCACTCTCTCCAGGAGTGAACAAAAACCACCGCCCGTTGTAGTGATTAAACGAGAACTTCGCGATGAAGATACAGATGAATTAGATCGAAATAACCGTTCAAGATCAACTAGAGAGCGACGAACGGGTGACGGACGTGAAATGACTGAATCTAGATCAAGGCTTGGCCTTGGATTAAATAACTATAGTCCACAAAGTGAAAACTTAGATTTATACTACAGTTCACGGCAAAATATGATTAATGAGCCGAACTGGAGCTATAAGCCCCCACCACCGCCATCTGTTATAACAGAACAACCAAAAAGTCATTCATTCGCCCCATCACATGCATATTATCAAAACGCAGGGACGTTGGAAAGTCTTGCAGAGAAGGTTCATTCATTTTATCCAGGACCAAACCGTCGCATGTCAGCTGGTACTGGAATGGGTAGTCAATCACATGTGCGCTTTCCTCGCAGTGGATCAGATCAACATCTTCCGCGAGTTGATTATTCAGATTTTTCATCACTAAGCAGACATTCACTCCTTCGTTCAAGTCTGAAAGCTGGTATGAATCCATCAGGTGGAACTTTGGGTAGATATGGTAGATATGAATCTCAACCATCAACAAGGTCAAAGTTTGGACCGTCACCAACACAAGTCGCTTTAAGGTATTTTCACTTAAATTATTTATTATTATTATCATTATTATTATTATTATTCTGTACTTACAATGCAAAATTTCATTTCGAAATCATAAAATATAAATGTACTAAACACATTATTTGGAAACTCGCATTTGGTATAATATGCTTGTATAATTTACTAGAAATACCAATTTGGAATAAAGATTTATTGGGGCAAATTCATCCATTCCAGGCTAATGTTCACGGTCAAAATTGAGGTCTAATTTGTGTGTAGTTTCAGTAATTTTCATCGTCACAATGGAATTAAAAAAAGAGAAAAAATAATAAAGTTAGATTAATATGAAAAAAAATGAGATCATTCATAATTATCAATATGCAATAAACTCCACTTACCGAGTACAATTTATACCAAGAGGTAACTCGTACTTCGGCAAGGCCACAATTTAATCAAGCCTAGCGGACTAACAAATAATTGTTATAAACTAATTTCTAAATTATAATTTGATTGAATGATGTTGTTGTTGTTGAATGAGGGCTGCTACTACTACGGCTGCAGGTGTCAATTATTGACATTCTGATTCTGACCTCGATACAACGACAATGGCTGATTGTTGTCATTCCGGCGTGGTCTTCGCACATTTGGATGAATTGTCCGCTTGAACACAACGCATTCACCTGCATAATGATATAACAAAAACACATTTCATGTATAACAATTGCTTTACAATGTGTATCAATTCAATACAGTGTATCAATCAGCTCCGCTGCTGCAATATCACGATGCCATACAGTTGTGAGCGTTGGTCGTGCTCAGGCAGCTCCCTCGATTTCAAAGTTTGCAACATTTTGTAGCCATGTTTTGAAGGAGCGTTACTTCTTTGACACCAAACGACCTGCATTCGGTCCATCTCGAAGAAAATGAAACACAATGGACAATGTTGTGATTTCATGTACTCATCGACCATTCGAATGATGCAGTTGCCACGTTTCATAATGGCTACAAGCAGCTTCCGTGTGCCTGGACATTGCACATGTTTCTTGATCTTAATCGGCGAATTGGCTGGTGTTGATCCGCTGGATCCCATGTAGAAAATTGATGGTTGATTGTGAACCATTTTGCATGCCGTCTTGTCGATTGCACGCACCGATTCGATATGCTTGTCCAGTCCCAAGCGTGCATACTGTTTGGTCGAATATGTTTCAATGACATCATTCATTACAGGTAATCGATGTTCAATGTGCGAACGCCATGATGGTCCTTTTGGCAATGGCATTTCACCAATCATAGCTGCAATTCGATTACGATCAGCTTGCCCTTCGAATGTAAATAATCGTGTGATTCGTTCGGCTTTTGCATTACGTCGGCCTTGTTTCGCATCCGCTGCAGTGATATCGCTTGCTGGATATACGCAAATTCACCTAATAAAATGAGAACAACAAAAACAACATTGTATTCACAATCACAATCACTTTCATTTATTGTTAAATGGCACATTTACCTCTTCTTTGGTATGCAAATCTCATCGTACGGAAGCGTTCCACGTACGCATCACATCCAACAGCATATTTCAACTCGTTGCTATCATACATTGCCTTGATTTCGTCATCCGTTTTCTCAACTGGTGGTACTTTCGGTTTTTTTACAACGATACAGATACGCCATCGCAACAAATTTGACAATCGAATTCTATTTTGGTGTGCACAAGTTTGAGAATTTTCTCCACATCGAAGAATGAATTCCAACTTAGGGTATTATTCATGGTGAATTCTTTGCTGTCGACATTTTTGAAATTCGTTGTTCCATCTTTGTATGTTAGTTTACCGCACTTTCGAGGCACTAATTTCGCATTCGATGAGACAACGTACAATGCTTCTGAATCTATCCGGATGTGCCGTCGCTGAAAAGTGTGCCTCTTTCACAAAGTAACGGATGTTGCAATCGTCCGGTGCTCCCAATCAACGCAATTCATCAATAGTTTACTCAATCGTATCTCACGTTCAACGTCGCCAATTGCGGTGTTTCGACGACGATAAGTATGATTGTATGACATTTTTATATCTTCATCGTCGTAGTATGGCAATTCGAATTCGATCAAACCGTACAAATTGTTGAAATAATTGTACTTGATTGCGTAGTCGTTGAGTTCGAATTCTCTCATTTTAATAAAACTTCCGCAATCGAGACTCGCAATGCGTTGTCAGGTTCGTTTTAACGTTGTCGTGGTACTGCTCCCACAAATATTTAAAACCATTCCGAACCCACCGTTTTTGGGCCAGTCAATAAGTGCAGCGTTAAAAATGTTGCGGAAACCAGGTAACATAAGCGATATGTTACCAATGTTATCGATAAGGACGGCTTTAAAATAGTTGTGTATGATCGTTAATGGTTCATCGGTTTCAAAAAAATCATAGTTGAAAATCGTCGAGTGCTTCATTGACCTATTTAAAAAAACACAGAACACACACACACACACACAGAGAGAGAGAGAGAGAGAGAGAGAGAGAGAGAGAGAGAGAAACAATCAAATCAATTCATATAAATAACATATGTCTCACGTAGGTTTGCACAAATTACAGCGTTTATTGCGCAGCATTAACAAACACCAAAATGTCAACCAATGCACGCGGTGCATTTATCAGCACCTCGAGACTACTGTCAAACTCAATTCGACGAAATACGATTTGCGCAAGTCTGTCTCAAATTGCTTTGGCGGACTAAGTACAAACGAAATTCTCCATGTGTTTAAAAATAAACCAATCTGTCTTCGAACCATGTATTGTGTTTCATGGACTTAGTATGAAGATGAGGATTCTAGAAAAAGCAAATAGTCCGGTCGTATTCCATATCTGAGTGCTCAAACCTTTCAAAACTATCACCAAGTGCCAAAATCGCGTTGGTCAAGCAAACATTCATTTTTGGTGATTCTCATGATTACAACACATCCAAATTTGAACCAAAACAATAGATTTAGACACGATCATTAGTAATCAACAAAATAAGTTACGAAAAAATTCCAAAGTGTGTCAAAAATTGGCAGTTCAATTCGCCTCATAGCATGTTGCACTGAAAAATTCATCATTTTGGATAGTGAAACATTCATCGCTATATCGAACCATGAATGAAGTACGAATGATTTCCTTTGCATTGATAAAGTTAGGACACTATACTATATAACGCTAGAGATCTTCTTTGGAAGGTGTTTTAGAGCCATTATTCGAAAATTTAATGCTGTAACGTAAGGTAAAACCTCCATTACTGCTCCATTATCAACCAAATATAATGGTAATCGATGGGATTCGTTGAGAACTATTGGATTAAAGCCAAATTGTGCTTTGTAAGCAGAAAAAACCACATTAATAGCTCACTTCTTAAAATATGACATTTCCATGAAAAAAGGACCATCTGTTTAACTTCACAAAAAGACACCAATTTGTTTAATTTTCTTCTGTTTTTGGCTGTATGTTATAGGCGGGGGTCCAAAATACTTGAAACGTGCAACAATTGGTTGCATATATTGAGAGAAAGTTGAAAGAAATTGACGTATCGGTCTGCCAGAGCATGATTTTGATAGTTCGACACATACTGAGAAAAATCGAAGACAAAGGTCCATTAAGTGTGATGTGAATGTGCTATTCGATAATTGATGAATAAAGGTTTCTACCAATAAGAACGAATTTAATAACGTGTGTTTGTTCTTTAAATGACAGGCTTATGAATTTGTGCAAACCTACGTGAGACATATGTTACAATGGATCGCATAGTGCCAGAAAAATGATGAAATAATGACGAAAAATGAAATTTGGTCAAAGCAATGTGTGTACTTACCTTCATCAAAAATAGTAAGGATGCAAGGCCATGTGCAAGGCATGCGATCTTCGTGGTCTTCACCAATAAATACGAAATGATTACGACAATTACATCCCGATATCTTTCACGGATAATCGATGGCAGTCCTTTATTGACCTTTGGTCGACGTTTGGATCAGCCCTCTTGTGAGTCACAAGTTGTGACGACCCATTTTGCTGCCTATTTACACTCAATTAAAAATAAAAAAAAGTAAAAAGAATTACATTAAATCATGGCATAAACTTTACTAAAACACTTTGAACTGAAAAAAACACTCAGCCAAACTGAAGTCAAACGACATATTCGATGTCGTCGTTTTGCCAATGTTCGGCTGTTCGAAAATTGAACTGTCAATTCGATTCATAATACACACAAGGAGATTTTATTACTAATACTAATATATTTTTAAGTTCGATTGTGAAATTCCAATTTTAACACTCAACGCGCTTCTTGCAACAGTAAAATATATCGATGCAATAAATTCACTCTTTCGATTGCATGGTGAAATTATGATTTTTCACGTTGTTAGTTTGTGAATGTTCTGTTATTTTAAAATCAAAACAGAAACAAATACAAAATTCACCACGTAAATAAATCTATTCTTTTGCAACATACATTAAAATCACATGAAAGGAATCATTTGTATAACAAAAACTAACACGATGTGATGCGATGCAATGATTACAAGGCGAATTTTTGAATGTAAACAAATACTATCGGCTTCGTTTTGACATGCACAACAGCCAACTGTCAAATGACATACGCATTCCAATAGGTCTCGAATTAGAAATTCATGAAATAAAAAATAATAATATATTTTTATTTAACACGAAAATGACCACCAAATGGGTCAATGCGTTACATTTTTCAACGTTAAATTGGATGAAAAACGTTACAAATTGGTTGCTTGGGTATATATATCATCATATTGTAATTTTTTTATCGATAGCATTTTTTAAGAACATTTAAATGAAAAAAGATTAATTTAAATTATGCAAATATACAATATGACGACAAAATGACATTTTTACATGAACATATTTTTTAACACGTTGAAATAGCATTTTACCCGCAAACAAAATGTATTGCGGTTAAATTGACATTTTAACATGGGAGAAAATGTATCCATGTTAAACTGGCATTTTGGTCTAATTACTTTGAATTTTCAAATTTGTATTTTCTCAGAGTCCAACGATGTTTGATGATAACAGTTTATTTTATTCATTATTAAAAAAAATCAAAATATTTATCGGAGGTAAATTTCGAAAATTTGCTCCAGAATGGGGCAGAAACCCAAATAATAAAACCCATGGTTGCGACACGGCAATCGCATATTCATTCGCAGTTCTTCGTGGATACAAATTCATGAAAACAACAGAAAGAATATAAAAACAGAAACGCGTGAATAAATTATTATCTTTCATCTACCAATAAAACTCTTAGTGCTTGAAACTTACCCTTATGTGGAGTAGCAAAGTAATAAGTCAAATTTATGATTATCAATCGAAATGAATTTTATCATTCAACTTTTCACATTATTAGCCAACTAAAAAACTTGAATTTACCTCAATAGAAGAGTTCGACCAACGCTTGATTATTCAAGCGATACGGAAGCTACCCTTCCTCCACCTCGGTCGAGCTATTACTATAGGCCAACAATGAACAGTATACCGAGAGGTGGTACTACAGCCATGGGTGGAGGACCTGACTTAGCGAAATTTAATTCTCTTCCAAGAGAGAGGCCTGGTAATACCCGTCTTGGACTACGTTCGCGCTTGGCAGAACGTTTAGGTGATGAAATCGATGGTAATATATCAGCTCCAGAGCTTCCTGCACAAATTCGAGATGTACGTAACCGAATTGTGGCTCCAGCAACATCTATATTTACATCGGACGAATATCGAGCATGGCTCAGGAGAGCTCCAAGTAGTTCTGCAATTTATGAACAAATGCGAACATCGCGAGATATTCTAAATCAACAGAGAGCACACCGCTTCTCTTGTAGTGCAGAAAATATTCACGATGCATTGAAAAATGTAAGTTTGAATTCATAAATGAAATTATGATGACAATAATGAAACGGAGAGTTCTTTACGAGCAGCGTTTTTTATTTATATTTTGTTCCGTCGTCGAAATTGTTCGTTTGTAGAAAATCAAATGTTTGGATTGATTGAATAAATATAGAAAATATGTAATAAGAAAATATGTAATTTGAAAAAATATAATGTAAAATAGGTAATTTCTGAAGAAATTATTTAGATGTGAAGAAAAAATTTCTTAATTTTTATTCTTATCTTCTAATCAGATGATGCACATTGCACATGGTGAAAAATAGGCTTGTCGAATTTTGTTCCCTTTGAGATTTTTTTGACAATTCCGTAAGATCGAAATTTCATTGCCATAAGCTAACATTTTTTGCTTGGAATATTGATAATCTGAACATTTAATTTTCTACGAAAGAAGATATGTATTGTGAATATTGATAAAATCCGTTCGTAGGTGTTTATAAACAGCTCCAAATGTTTAATTACCACGTATTAATCACACAAAAAACTTAAAATTGTAAATAACAAGGGAATGGCATACGATGGAATTGTTTTATAAAAAAAAATCAAATAGATATTGAAAAATGGTTAAAAACAATTGAATTCGATTTTTATATGTTTTTTTCATTTTGAAGCAAGGTTTTATATAGTCGTGATTTTGTTTGAATCGTTTCTTTTCAAACGAAATTGAAATTGACACGATCCTCAGATGGTTTGAATTCTTAAAGCTAATGAACCGTCAACGGTGAAATTGGTCACCTCTGTTCATAATTAAGATTTTGTTCTGTGATAATTAATTTTTTTTTTGTTTAAATTGCCTAAAAATATTTTTGATTTCAATTGCATTGTTTATAAGAATTCCATCGTTGAAAAGTAACGACTTATCCGTAGCGAAGAAACATAATGTTAACATCGTTACGAAAATTTAATTAATTTGAAATTGTTTATTAAGGTGCCTCGTTTTTTAAAATTTAACCTATGCGGGAGGATCCCAGGAGAACACCTGTAATGTTTTTTTCTCAAAAAACTGCATGTAGAAATCGTGCATTGGACCCGTGTTCTTTCGGCCCTCTTGAACGCATTTGAATTTTTTTTAAATGATGTGAAAATTTGTATTGGGCGGTTTTTGGGTATGAGAAAATCGAATCTGATATTTATTTTGCTTATTTATATTTATACTTTCCATACAAAAGTTCATGTTTTTGGCCATTTGTGATCATTTTTGCTATTTTTGTATGTAAAGTATACCAAATGTCAAACATAGAATCGAAGTTGCTTAAATGTGAATGCTGCGTGCGATGTGAGTGTCTGTGTGTTTTTGTTCCATTGAATTCGGTCAAGCATTGATACATAAACACACAGTTCCACTCTCTCGACAAAAACGATATTGTTCTTATGGCATGTTGTGTGGTCATACGATAAGACGCATTCTCATTTCGAATTCTGTAAACAATACGAAATGCGATATAAATTGTATCAATGCATCAAATTTAGTAACAAATGGCTATAAGAAATCGATTGTATATCTGCAAAAAATATTGTTTTGATTCAATTACATTTATAGATAGTTCAAATTTATTTTATAAAGGAAGTATTCCATTTAAAAACCATATGTTCCATACTATATTTAATTTTTCATATTACTAATATTGAGTTTAATTCTATTCACAGTGTAGCAGTATTTATAGCAGTAGAGCTAGCGGTATGACAAATACTTTGGATCGTCATATTAGTGGGCCAAGACCTATGAACACAGCTCCAATACGTTCACTATCAACACAACACATTGGAAGTGGTCTTCCATTACGTTCACCAAGCATTCGAAGAATGAGACAATTACTCGAGTTTGGCGGCGCTCCCGCAAGTCCCGGCAGTGTAATTAGTGGTCATCAGAGTCCTGCTCCGACACCAAGTAATCATATAAATGTGTATAATTCATTTTCATTAGCTGAGCTGTCAACGAATACCCGTTCATTAGTAGCACTTTTCATGTCGTTGGCACCCACAACGATCATATAAGTTGTTTAAAAAATTACGGCGCTTGTTTGATGCTGGGACATATGAATTTGTATTTTTCACTGCTTATAAAACGCACGCTCAAAGCGATACATAACTCAATGTGCTGAGTTTTCTAATACACAGTGCGCTTCTCCACTCACCGAACGAGTGTGAGAGCAACTCACTACTCGCACAAGTCACATTGTGATTTTCGTCTTGCTGTTACTAGGCATGTTTATATGAAACTCTTGATGACTTGGTATAATGCACAAAAATATTGAAAAATAAATTTTCCGTCTTTTCGACCGTCTTTCTGGTGCAAACTTAAATGAAACTCTCGGACAATGCAAAAAAATATTGAAAAATGACGCTCTTCGAGTGATTATTGCATAACGGTCCATCTTCACACCACATGGTGAGATTATTTTCCGGTTATTCGATTACATTATCCAAATTTTTATATTGGCCATTCGAACTGTTCTTTTCGACGGAATATATCTGTGATCTTGCCTTGACAAATTACGTCATTTGATCACAGCGCTTAAATAATATTTGTGTTATAACTGGTAATCGGGTAGAAAGATTGTTTGCAGCCCACATTTTATTAAAATTTTCTTCTTCATTTTCACCATCGACGTTGACAATGAAATAAAACAGCAATGAAGAAACAATTATAAATACCACACGTTGAAATTTATGTCCAACATGACATCGAATATTTTGAAGAACAAAATTTTGTTGGAATATTCACCATAATTCTTATCAAAACTCTGTTATTTCGAAATAAAAACAAATTCTGAAATCTATTTTTTACGATTTTTACGGGAAATCAATTCAAAGTTTTTCCGAATTACATTTAGTGTCGCAATATTTGTTAGGATTGAAAAAATACATTTCCATAAATTACGAACGAACGCAAATCTATGAATGAACAAAAACATCAAAAAGTATTCTACGAACGAGCGATCGTAGACAGCCTAAGCAGCGTAACACATGAGCAATAAATCTTTAGACTAAATTCAGGCGTTTATTGCGCGACATAAAAAAAATCAAAAGTGTCAACCAATGCAGATAGGAGACTTAACGGGACTCCTACTCTACTATCAAACACAATTTGCACAAAAAATTTCCATTCGCGATGATATACAAATTGGATTTACGAAAAAGTGTCTCAAATGATTTTGGCGAGCTAAGTTCAAAACAAATTCTGCATGTGTCTAAAGGTGAACCAATCTTACTTCGAAGCATGTATCGTGTTTCATAAACTTAGTATGAAAATGAGGATTCTGGAAAAAGCAAAAAGTACGGAGGGCGGGGGTCAAAATAATATAAAAATGAACCCTTGCCCTCCGAATTGGGTCATTCAGGGCGACCAAAACTATATGCCAATGGAAACTACATTGATATGCGTAACTTTTAGTTTTCGACCCGAATTAAAGGTTCAACCCGAATTAAAGGTTTAGTTTTCGACCCCCCTTGGGGATGGGCAATGGCCTAAATGAAATGTGCGGATAAAATTAGCTATAGTTGGCCATACATTTGAGTGCAAAGCTCTGCACACAAAAAGTGAAAAATCGACATTGTATCATTTTACCCCAATATGATAGTTAGATAGCTCTGAGTTGTTGGGAGACTAGGGGTGAATGGGCACGAGACAAATATCACTTCCAGGGTAATTTGGGAAGCTGATTCCGAATTTCGAGGTTTTGAGTAAAAAAAAAATCATATTTTGGGGGTTTTTGACCCCCGACCCCCCTGGGGGTGGGGGGACTTGGAGGGCAGGGGTCATACAAAATTTCTCTCGTCATTCTGAACAACTTTGTAGTACATTATTTTTTGATCCGACCAAATTTTGACATGGTGGGGTGCTCCCCCGACCCCCCCTCATGGTATGGGCACCTCCTATTTTCACATACTTATTTTTTCGCCACTTTATATCGATCTGTACTAAGAAAATTTAAAACTTTTTTTAACACTTCGATATGTTTACTGGTAAGGCAAAATCAAGATTGGCTTGGTTAAAATTCTACAGAAGGGATTTTGTCGACCTTTGGACTATTAAGCGACTCTACTTCACGTTTGTATTACCAATCATGGAATATGGATCAGAAATATGGAGTCCACACTATAACAATATGTGCAAGAGAATAGAGTCAATTCAAAAACAATTTTTGATTTTTGCACTGAAAAGAATGTCCTGGAACAGTTATAGACTGCCGAAATATGAACATAGGCTGCTGTTTCTACAAATTATGTTGTGCTGTTAATTTACCAAATAGAAGGACTGATTACACAAAATATGAACCAATAAATGATATGCTTGCTTCATTCAACGATTTTTATACAAAAAAAATCCAAATAGTGATACTAATTTAATTGATATAGAAGTAAATTTATCTACAGTAAAACTGAGAATTGAAAATTATTTAAAGCAAAATAGATGATTTCAAAAATATTTATACATTGGAGATAAAATTATATAAATTATTTCATATTAATATTACTTTGAATAAACCTCCAAGGCGAAGGAACGCTGTTCGGTGCAGTTATTATTATTATTAGGACCAGCTTTTTAACTTCACAAAAAGACACCAAATTACAGTATGTTTCATTATAGAGAGAGGTTGATTTTTTATAATAAAACTCAAGAGTTTTACAAAATTATTTTATATACATTCTATTTAGTATCTAAGCTACGGCGCCACAAATTAATATTTAATCCATTCTCCTGCCTTCTCGATCACACAGGCACATCTATTCGGCATACTTTTGCTCAAATTTTCAGCATATTCGCTTTGAAAACCTTTCCACTGGCGCTGAATGAATGAACTGAGCTGCTTCAAATTGCGGTATGTTTTACCACGAAGCCATGTCTTAATAATAGCCCAAAAATTTTCGTTCGGATTGCAATCGGGTGACTGTGGCGGCCAGTCCATTTGTTTAATGTCATTTTCCTCTTTCCAAGCATTGCATAGACGACTTTTGTGTTTTGGATCGTTGTCTTCTAATAGAAGCCAATTCGAATTGTGGTTGCCATAGAACTTCTTAGCGATGGGTAACTGTGTCGATGAATAATGTTGGTTCATCCTCACGGCGCTTGGAATCCCCGTGAATATGGTCAACTTTCCAAAACCAGCTTCACAAAAGCAACCATAAGCATGCACCTTTTTCGGATACTTTACCGTGCGAACGACCATTCTCTTTTGGGCTCTAGACTAGGCATGGGTAGTGCTATTCACCAGCCAAAAGAATGACTCGTCAGTGTATATAACTTCGCTCCAATCTCTTGTTGAATTTTGCTTTGCCCCGTCAGTGCCTTTTTCTTCTGGTTTTCTGTCAAAAGCGGTTTCTTCAATTTACTGCGATAACGAACACCGGCAACATCTAATCTTCTCCTGATAGTAGAGCGCGAGACCTCTATTTTAAGACGGCGTAGCCGTTCAACACCTTGGCTCAACAACATACCTAAATTTTTATCGAACAACTTGACTCTCCGTTTATCTTCCTGTTGCGAGGAGGCTCAGTTTGGCTTCAGATTGGGCTGGTCGTTCACTTTTTTTTCATGCTTATACTGCTGGATTCACTTTATTACGAACCCTTTTGACTTTTTAATGTATTTAGCAGTCGATGTGATCGACATTCTTTGTCCTTTTGGATGCAAATGCAGAAAAACGGCTTCAAACCGTGAATGAAAATGTTCGGAAATAATGTTTTCGTTGCACAACAAACACTGTACTGATTTGAGAGCTGTCATTGTTAATTGGCGTAGTAGCCTAGAGTCTCATATGGCAACACCAAAAACATTTTTAGGATATTTGAAATTTGTGGTAGTTAAATCAACCTCTCTCTATAATGAAACATACTGTAATTATTTCTCGTCTGTTTTTGGATGTATGTTATAGGCGATGGTTCAAAATACTTGAAACATGCAACAATTGGTTGGATGGATTGATAGAAATGGTTTGACGCATACTGGAAAAATCCAATGAAAAAAAGACAATGGCCCGTTCAGTGAATTGAATAAATTCAATAGCCTATGAATAAAGGTTTATAACAATAAAAACATATTTAATATTGTATATTTGTTGTTTAAATGGCGAACGTATGAATTTAGTCTAAAGACTTATTGCTCATATGTTATTACAACATATATTCAAATTTGTACTAACGAGGTGTACTTAACTGCCAAAGCTTTGGACATTGTCATGATGCAATTAACATAGCTTCATTGAGCTATGAATGAGCAATGTGTAAAGGTTGTGTTGGTAGTCAAGTACTTTTTGTAAGTTGTTCCACTTATATACACTCAAATTTATATTCGAGTTCTTATTTCAACTAATTCATACATAAATATTTTTTTTCTATTCAATATAAATTTAATAGCACGAACACAACGTCAAATTGACATCAATCCAGCAGAATTTTCAAAATACAAATTAGAAAAGCCAGGTAAATTTCATTAGTGTTCCGTTTAAAATTGTTTGCTTGTAAATTATTAAGAGATTTTTTTTATACGTTGAATAAGTTTTTTTTTCACATTGAATTTTTTAAAGGTGAACTTTGAATTTAATTACAAGTAATAGTTATTTTATTACATCAAAATAAAAAACGCGAAATCTGACGATGTGAACAATTTGTAGAAAATGAGGATAAAGTCGTTTTTTTTTTGCTTTTCACTACCCAGCAAACAATTGTTAACAAACAGGTGTGAAAACATGGAAAAAGGGAAAGACAACCATTAGTATCAGTTGAACTGGGTATAAAATACTTTTTTTAAATTAAAAACTTTACTCACCTACGGGCACTCCCCCTCCGTACAATGTTGTACTATTGTACAACTAGACCACAAGACTTTATATAGTCTGTTCATGTCTAGCTAAGCTAACTATAATAGTTAAAATATTTTATTTTATGTAATTTTTTGAATGTATGATTAATTGATGATGTTTGTTAGTTGACATTGTTGTTTTAGTCCGGCGGTCTTAACAATGAAACTGGCAATGGTACATCAAAGATCCGGCAAAGTCCTATGTAATTTAAAGCAAATACATTAAATAATGAATATTCTGTTTCCAATTGATTCATACCTTTGGGCATAAGGCATTTTGCTGCAACAATATCTCGGTGCCAAGTAACTGTTTGTGGAACAACATCATCATCATCAACATTTAATGGCCAATTTTTGTAGGTAACTTTAACCTTTGACATTAAACGCCCAGTCCGAAGTTTTTCGTTCACAGCCTCACGATTGCCATCGATAATTTGTCGCTTAATAATTGCACGTTTTCTTCTCAAAACACGTCTGTTGACCGTTGACACAATGATATCTGGCAGTCCAGCGACTGAATCTGGCAGGCCATCAATCTTTTTCGCTCTACAATCGTAGCACACTTTAAATCGATCATATTTTGTGTGCCTTGGAAAACGTTCCTGACAATTCGCGCATGTTTGTGATGTTCCCCATTCATCTTGCATTTCAACTTCTGAATGTCCAAGTTTCTTAATGCTCACACAAAACTTACGCGATCCCGGACATCTTTTACGCTTTTTTATTCCAAACGGTCGATCGGGTTTCATCGCCCAAGCACCAAATTGAACCAACGACGGTTTGTTGTTTGTCACACGCACGGCGATTTGATCATTTACTCTGGTCGAGCGAATTTGATGGTCTAAATCCAGTCGTGCATATTCACGCGTCGCATAAGCTGCCATTCCTTTTCGTAACATTTTAATGCGATATTCAATGTATGATTTCCATGTTGAATTACGTGGTGATGGTGGACGATATGGGTATGTTTTGAGATGTTCCTTCTCTTCGATATCAAACCATCCAGCCAACTTTTTCGCTTCTTTATCTCGTTTTTTCTGCTGAGTTTCCCAATGAAAACGCTGGTTTGGTATTATAATGTTTTCCTTCAAAATGCAAAATGATACAAAAAACTATGAGTTTCTATTCAAAACCATTTCAAATTATATTTCAAAATATCTTACCTCAACAGCCGGCTCATCAGGTGTTTTTTGAATGTTGCGACGCACTACTGTTAACCACGATTTTTCATTCGGATCGATTCCAATGATGTATTTCTTGCCAATGAGTTTTTCCGGCCCCCGATTCGCTTGGGTTGTTTGCTGTGGTCGTTGTTGTCACTGTGGTTTCTTGTACATTATGGATATTGAAACACTATCGGTCAAAATCTGATGATGGAATGGTTTCGATTTGCCCAATTTATTTATTTTACCGACATCGAACAACATATTCCATAGACCTGATCGATCAGTTTGGGTGTAGTACTCTACTTTTCTCTTATTCATCCGGTTGGTCCGCGTATTGAGAAAAGAAGGCACCAAATCAAGCTTGTTTACAATTTTATTATACAAGTCCGTAATGTCCAATCGCACGTTTTTCAAATGGTAGTCGCATAATGGTATAAGAGCAAAACTGCTTATTTTTGGTGGTCGATTGATTGTTCGCTCTTGAAAGTTCGGATTGTTACGAAACATTTCATGAATGGTATTCCATTGTTCGGCATGACTGTGATACACTTCTATTTGCCGTTGCATTTGACCGAACAACCACAGTGATTCAAACCAACGATATTTTGCGAAAAATTTCATACTCACTGTTCCCGACCATCCAATTTCAGTCAAATCTCTCATTAAAATATTGAATTTTTCAACGCGTTGTGGATCCACATTATTACCATTATCACCATTTGTTAAATTCTTAAATCGATATGAAAACTCTTTGGCATTTCTGATGTCGATGCTATCAAATCTTGAGCCATTGTTGAATCGATTGCGATACCAACAACGCATTCGAAAAAAATTCTCAAGTCGTTTTTCACACCATGTGTTGGTATTGGTTTGAATGTTTGTGATATATTGTTTATAAAAATATCTCAAACCATTTCCCAACTTTTCATCACCTGGCCATCGGAACTGTTCTTCACTGTTTCTTTCTACCATGAAACGAAACTCGGGCAATATCCGATATTGACTATTAATATTGTTAACGTGTTGGTTTAATACCGCTCTGAAACAATCGGCAATGAACAGGCTTGGATGTGGTTGCAAAAAAAATGCACGATCGTCATTATCAAGTGCTTCATTCAAAATAAAAAGAATAAAAAGTGATGCCAATGCTGCCACTTCTGTCATTTGAATACTGCGCTCGAATAGCATTTTGGTCACAGCTTCTCCAACTCTTTCAATCCGTTCATGTTGTTGTCGCAGGATTGTTTGAAGTCCACATTTTATTACAACGTATTTGCTTTCTTCTGGTTGATTATCATCGAGCTCGTCGTCATCCATGTCTTTTTCTGTTCATTCTCAAAAAACTGATTAAATTATTCGAAAATAAAAAATAGACACAAATTTAGAAAAAAAATGCAACAAAAATAGCATATATGCAATAGATTACAAATAAAATGAGATCACAATTTAAATGACAATCACTTATATCACAATTCAAATTTCTTCTTACCTCAACGATGTCACTCTGTATTCTGATTCAAATGATGAAATGTTTTCCAATATTCCGCAGATGAAAATTTTGTTGGAATATTCACCGTCAATTTTATGAATGCTTTCTTATTTTTAAATAACAACAGAGACAATCTCAAAACCAACAGTGAATTTATCCGTTTAACATCGAACAAACAAAATCATTGGAACAAATGTTAGCCAAAAATGACGACAAACAAATTGTTTCATACTCTAATATAAACACTCACACATAATTCTCAAGAATTCCTTTTACAAGCAAAGCACAATTTGTTACAAACAAAAAATGAGAACACACTCATATCACAATTCAAATGAATAACTTCTTATACTATATAACGCTGTGTCCTGATTAAAACGATGAAAATGTTTTTTTTTTTATTTTGAAATGAAAACAAAGACTGTCACAAAACGGACTGTGAATCTTTCCATTTGACATCGAGTGACTTCTACAGTTACGTTCCAAACACACCAAACCGTTGCTTAAATGACGATAAACAAAAAATGAATCTCATGTACAAGAATTCCATTTATTAATCACTGAATTTTGTTTTTTTTTTTTCAACACAATGGCAACTTAACCATAATTACTTACCTTATTCTTAACAATAACTTCAAAATATTTTGATGCGAAAAAATCCCTATTTAGTTCGGTGCCGGAATTATAATTTCATACATTGTTCAAAGAAATTAATTGATACGATGCAATGTTTACGAAGCACATTTTGAATGTAATCAGAAAAATCGGCTTCGATATGATACACACCAATACACACAGCTACCAACTGTCAAATGTCGTACACATTCAAACATGTTTCGAATTCGAAATTCGAATTTGAATTATGAAATAAAAAAAATAAAAAAATGTTTCTGAAACTAAAATCAAATCAAACAAATCTAAAAAAAAAGGTACATTTATAAATGTATTTCACAGTCACTTGAAATTCCTACGCAATGTTTTTTTTATTCATGCACAATCGAAACACATACAGAGAGAAGAGAGTAAGATTTGTATTTTCATCCTCTTTTTTTTCCGGTTTGTTTTTCAAATTTCATTTGCTTAAAATCAATCGTATGAATACGATATTATGAACTCAACGAGTTTATGTTATTTACATTTGTTTACATTGTATTGCCGCTACAGTTTCTTAGAATATAATAACAAAAAGAGAAACAATCGAAACACACAGAAGATGTTGTTGTGTATCGCAACACGAAAAAGCCGAAAAAGTGGTTCACATTATGCCTATATTCTACCTTCTATTTGACCACCATCGTGGTCTTACCATCGTGGTCTAACATCATTAAACATGGTTATTGAGGTCGGACATGATGGTACATCGTAGTCTAAAACCATTTAACATGGTAAAAAATATCAAAACATGATTTACCATGAATTTTGAGGTCGACCATCATGGTAAAAAGTGTCAAAACATGTTTTACAGGGACGGCCATCATGGTAAAAACTGTTAAAACATGATTTACCATGGATTTTGAGGTCGACCACCGTGGTGAAAAGTGTCAAAACGGTTTACGATTGGGTTAGATTTGGTATCTGCTATCTTTACAATTGACCAGACAAGTAAGATTTGATCTATTTTAACAGCTGCTCATTCAATCCCATGATGTCTAGTTTTCGAATAAGTAAAGCTAAGTTAACTGAGTCAAAAGCCTTGGAAATGTCCAAATAGATTGCGTCTGTTTGATGTCCCCTTCCTATGTTATTAATCGTTTTTGAACTAAATTCCGCTAAATTAGTTATCGTTGACCTGTTCTTGATGAATCCATGCTGACTTTCGTGGACGATGTTCTTCAAATATATATCGAGAATCTTTGACGTAATGCACTGAAAAGCAACACCGCGGTAATTTTGAACGTTGTTTCTATCTCCGTTTCTGTAAACTGGTCTGAAAAATGACGTTTTCCATATCTGCGATACAGTGGCAGTCTATCTGGTTTTCCATTTTAATTCTGTAATCCCTGAGAGCTGAGCGTGCACTTCGTTTATATTCCCTTCTTATTTGTTTGTAATGTTCAATCGATTCGTTTGTGTTGAGTAATTTTCTATTTCGATGCGCTTTGCTGAATTTGTTCTTCAACTCAACCAATGACTTGTTAAACCACATCGGTTGCTTCCTGATGATTCTTGTCTTTAACTGTACATGTGTTTCGATTGTTGACTTAATAACCGAATAAAAATTATCCAGTCTCAACTCTAATGAATTTGTATCAAAAACATTATGCCAATCTACATCAAGAAGCGACTCATTTATTCGTTTATAATCTGCATTTATAAAGTCGCAATGTTTGTTTTATTTCAAGGGTTTTTACTCATTATATTTGATTTCGATTGCATTGGTGCTTTTCAAAATTCAATAAATGAAAGTCACTCAAGGTGTACAGTGATTGCATGACACACTGCACTCACACGCCATTCGCATATGAATCCTATGTTAGTGGAGAGTTTCTCTGCTTACTTTGCTTGTTATTTTGTCTATCAAAAAAATTAGATTCACTGTATTGAAACAGCTCAATATCATTTGTCCAGATCAAATCAAGCATACGACCATTTTGGTTGTAATTCTTGTTAATCTGGAGAAGTCCCAGTATTGGTCTTCCGCTCCGATGCAAACGGACTTTAGTTTGTTGCTGACTGTCTTTTCTACTAAAATCGTAATATATCTATTACTTTTATTTGCAATAAATAGGTTGGTTAATTTTGAATTGATTTTATTTCAATTTGAAGTTGGGATACTCTTCTAGGTACACCATTTATGTTATATAGTTAGATATGTAAATTTGTTTTTTATGTTTATTTCTTTTCGCTTTAGTGTTGGATATTGGTGGGATGTCTGGTATGATTTGGATACATTTACTAGCTGGACGGGGCTTGCGCTCGACACCTGAAGGCAGTCAAATAACTACACAAAACATTGTTAGAGATCTTTATTGTGTCTTAGAATGCGACCGAGTACACAAAGCACGCACAGTTGTTCGGTCAGGCGATTTACAATTTGATTGGGATGAATCATTTGAATTGGATTTAGTATCAAATAAGCAGTTGGATGTTCTAGTTTATTCTTGGGATCCACAGCACAGACATAAACTTTGTTATCGTGGTGCAGTTTCATTGTCAACATTACTCAGGCAATCTCCACTTCATCAACTTGCATTAAAGGTACACAGAGTCAATACTATAGGTTATAACCTCTTTCTACCAAATTAACATGTTTCAAGACCATCTTATTTAAAAATATAGCCCATTTACAGATACAGTGACTGTACAGAAAATGTCTTCAGTGACCACTGTATTTATAGATGTCCAAGTATTAATAAAATATCATGATATCTTAATAGTTACTACTGACGAATGCTTCATTAAATATTAAAACCAATCATGCTACGAGTATCAACAAGAGTATCATGTATCATGATCGATTATGATACGGGGTATCACAATGAGTATCAAGTATCATGATACCGAAGTTAATACGCGCCATTTGCAATTTTGCGTGGATTTTAATTTTTAGTTGTGTGCTAATAGAATGTCTATTGTAAACATTCATACAAGAGTGGGTGAGACAGCATGAAAATAAGATTTACCAAGCACGATTTGGGTGACAGAGATGACAAATTCTTACGTTCTGATCACACCAGTTGATGTAGACCACTTAGTTGTGTTTGAGAATTGAGAAAAAAATGTATTCGCCACTTTACATCGATCTGTATTAAGGAAATTTAAAACTTTTATTAACACTTTGGATACTCTACTGGTTAGTAAAAATCGTACTAAGAATAAACTCAGTCCAAAAGAAAATCAAACGATTGACCAAGGCATACAAATTTGGTTCGCTTGCTTCAAACTCGATACAGGAGCAGATGTCAATCGCATTCCATTAAGAATTATTAAGAATTTGAAAACTAAAATCAGCAATGAACAAAATGACTTTGGACAAAATGACTATAGTACTACTGTGTCCAAAAAGTAAGGTGAAATTATAATTCAAAATTTGCGGGAAATGTAATCGATGATAACCTTCTTGATATAGATTGGCAGCACTGTCTTTGACATCTATGCCAAATTTCAAGTCAATATCTCCATGAGGCTATGAGTTGCACTTCTCCGTTTACATCAAGACTTTTTTTATTTTTGTGTTCACAATGGCAGATCATTTGGGGCAAAGATATTGCATTAAATTTTGTATGCGGAATGAAATTTTTTGTATCGCAGCCATGCCTATATGATATCGTAATCATATGAAAATTTGCAGAGGTTATTGTTTAATAAATATTTTTGAGTGTTTAAGAATACATTAAATATCACTTTTGGAAGAAAAATTGAATTTTTCCTATGGATGGCCATGGGCATCACACCAGACATGACACTTCACTCTGTCAACCAAAGTCGCTCAAAATCTAATGGTTTCTATTCCTCGGCACCCCCAATCATCCTGTGAAGTCAGATTTTGAATTACTTTTCTTGTTTGAAAGTTATCGTGTTAACAAATTTTTGCGTACAGGGTACAGGATACAGGGTACAGGGTACCACGCACATACATTCGGACATCGAAAAAACGGTAGATTCGTGTTCCCTGGCTCCTAAAATACCCTGAAAACATGTTTTTTGAGGGTGTTATTTTTTGACCGATTCCAATACTTTACCTTACAAGTAACAAGAAAAATAAACAAACAAGCGATTAAGTTTAACAAGCCATTGATTGAGTTAGAAGAAGAATAAAGTCCACAAAGCACATCAAAATAGTAACCCCTGTGATTTGGATAAGAAAATTTTTATATAGATATAACGTATTTCTTATGAATGTTATCACCATTGATTATGTTAAAGATCAACGTCATTTTTTACATCTTTCTTCTTAAAAAAAAACAGTAAACTATGTCACAATAAATTAAAATTGAAAAAAAAAAAAAAAAATCAAATCAAAACGAAATATTTTGAGACATTTAAAAGTAAGCTTTACATTGAATATTAGGTTGAACCAAGGGGCACTATTTATTTACGTTTGAGGTACACGGATCCCAATACCTTATATCGCAGACGTGGCTTGCCAAATTTACGTTCTGGATATCCACAGCTGTTTGGAGCTGACTTGGAAGCAGTAGTAACAAGAGAAGCAAAAATAGTACCGGGTCAAGCACCGATTCCAATTGTACTTCGTCGATGCGTGGAAGAAATTGAACGACGGGGATTAGACATAATTGGTTTATACCGTCTTTGTGGATCAGCTACCAAAAAAAGGCTATTAAGGTAATGTAATGAGATAGATTCATTAAAAGCTCATCTTTTCTATCTACAATAGAGCATATATGATAGTAAATAGTTGATTAGATATGAATTAAAAAGCAAACATACGTAGGCTGTTACTTATATATTGAGAATAGCAAACACAGATAAACATTTATTATTGAAAATGACTTTATTGTTTTTCAAAATATTCTCCGTGATGATCGATACACTTTTGCATTCGATGAAACTGATATCTCCAAAACATGTGTTGCCACATGTCCACTTATCGCGAAAAAACAGGTCACCATTTGCTTTGCAACACTTCGAGCTCGAACAACTTTTGTTGGGTTATCTTCATTTTGGAAGACCCATACAGTCGACTGCTGTTTTGTTTCTGGCTCATACGCATAGATCCATGATTCGTCACCTGTCACGATTTTATACACTAAATTTGATGCACTTCGATTTAATTTATTGAGCATTTCTTTACACCAATTTACACGAGCAATTTTTTGCTCATCGGTCAATTTATGTGAGATCCAACGCGAGCAAATTTTTTTTACGGCCAAATGTTCATCTAAAATCGTGTATATGCTTTTAACGGAAATGCCCAATGATGCCTCAATCTCACGGTATGTCACATGACGATCTTCCATTATCATGTTTCTGACAGCATAGATGTTTTGTAGAACAACAACTGATTTTGGACGACCTTCATGGGGATCGTCTTTGAGCGAACGACGGCCACGATTGAATTCAGTAAACCAGCGATATACAGTGGCCTTGGATGGAGCTTCATCACCAAAAAATGAATGGATTTCATCGACGCACTGTTGTTGAGATAATCCTCGTCGAAAGTTGTAAAAAATTATCCCACGGAAATTTTCACGTGATAATTCCATTTTTTTGTTGAGACGCAATTTAGATGTTACTGTAAACAATACAAATAGCGATCGTATGACAAAACGTTCTGCGGATGTTTATGCTACAAAATATCAATCTTAACGAATATGACAATGGTTTGCATCTAGCAACGTCAGTGTTGCCAATTCTCAATATATAAGAAACAGCCCTCGTATCCAAGAATTTAAATTCTTCACAGTAGGAAAATATCAGCCGACGCTATACGCAAAACCGACTGGTACGTACGCTCATACGTTTTTACATCTTTTACATCTAGTGACCATACGATTTTTCGACTGATTCGTTACTCTCTGTGCGTATCTTCGCACAGTCGAAAAATCGTATGGTAATAGATGTGAAAGATGTAAAAACGTATGAGCGCACGTAGCAGTCGGTTTTGCGTATAGCGTCGGCTGATATTTTCTTTCTGTGTTTAAAGTGATAAAAATACTATTATACTAGGTATACCTAATGTAAAACATGCTTGATTTCATTAAGCTTTGGAATAGTATATCCCTATCCCACTGTTTATTCAGTTACTTTAGACTCTTTAACATGAATTTTTATAATTCCACTCATTAAGAAGATGGATTTTAAACTAAAAGACTCTGTGCAAGAATAACCAATGAAATCGATTACTCTCGTGGAAAATAATAGATACATGTCTCCTCACGAATTTAAGACATTTCAATTTTTATCATATTTTTGCACACATGAAATCCAACATTTTCGAAGTAGCAACGATATTTGGGTTTTTATCGTCGATAACGAAAGTACATAATGTCTAGAATTTATGATGATATTTACGCCAATTTTTAGTGCGTCCCTATGCTTCAGATAAGAATTCTTATCTTTCTGGTTTCTGTTGATAAGGTAAATCGTGCTTTTGCCATAATCTATTTGGCGCTGGATATCTATCTTACGTGTTTGTGCTGAAATCACACACACACGGTTGACAGCATTTTATGATTACATACGATGTTCTAATTGGTCACCCATTCATCTAGTGCGCAGTAGTCGTAGTAGCCACTCTAAGATTTTTTTACTTATGAAACGATATTTATAATGATTTTTACAAAAAAGACATATAAAATTAATTCACATGTTATAGAGAGGCATTTGAGAGAAACTGTCGTGCCGTTGAACTTACTCCAGATCACGTTCCGGATATTAATGTTATAACGGGAGTTTTGAAAGATTATTTAAGAGAATTGCCAGAACCTTTATTTACACGGTGTTTATTTCAAATGACAGTTGATGCATTAGGTAAATAATGTAAATAAATTTAATATTTAATAACTTGATTGACTTTGAACTGAAATTTTAGGAGTATGTTTACCAGATGACCCGGAAGGAAATGCAAAACTAATGTTAAGCATTTTAGATTGTTTACCCCGAGCAAATCGAGTACGTAATACTTTCTATTAAATTTATGGAATAATATCATTTGATTATCATTCTTTCGTTATTTTTAATATTTCAACACAGGCAACACTAGTGTTTTTGCTTGATCATTTGTCATTAGTAGTATCAGCATCTGAAAGGAATAAAATGTCTGCACAAGCATTAGCAACTGTGATGGGCCCACCTTTAATGTTACACTCATCAAATGGTTCAAATGGTTCTGATGTAGATCATGCTCAGCCAATAGCAGTATTGAAGTACTTGCTTCAAATATGGCCACAGCCTCAAACTGTTACTATCTCAGGTAACGTTACCAATAACTAATTATTTGCCTCAGCAAAATTGGAATCAGCATCGACCAAAAAATTCCGTGATTCGAAGCAAAACTAACATGTGAAAATGTGTTAATAATAGAATTTTCACTTAAAACTGTCTTAACCAATATTGAATGCACTGTATCAATTTGAGGTTTGGAGGAATTTTTTTGGCATTTTTCATTGGTTTCGACTATAGATATTTTATATGGTTTAATTCAGAGTCGTGTGTAGACAGGTCATCGCAACGAGCCTCAAGGGCAGCGTGGAAACAAAGTCAGTGTGTTGCCAGTGGAAAAATTACTTCACAACCAACATATCATGGATTCAACAACAACACAGGTCGAGCAACATCTTCCCTCGGATATTCACAACACTCGACCGTATCAATCGGCAGTGGCTCAGTCAGCTCAATCGCTTCGAGTAAGTATTTCATTGCACGACACTATTAGAGTGGAAAAATAATTGAACATTCATTTTGTTGTGCGCATTAATCTAAAAACTCCTTATATAATGATTTTAAGTAATATTATTCAAATTATTGTTGTTGTTGAACATTATTATAACATTAATATTATTCCGTACCAACAGCGTCTCTTCGCCAGAGATAGTTTATTGATTACAAAAATCAGAATAAAACATCTCTCTTTGCGAGGTTAAAATAAAGTGACGCTGTGTGTAGATTTGGCATACAAAAGGACTGATATTAATTTGAAGGCCGCCCAAAAGAATAAACAAAATTCTGAATAGAACCAAAAGTTTTGTTGTTAACAACATTTCAAAAATAAATCCTTAAAATAAAAACGGAATAGTGCGTTACAGTTTCTATTAGCTAGGAGGAATATTTGAAATTTAAAAAAAAGCAGAATTGAATGTTGAATTTCGTACAATTTATCAAATTATTTTTGAAAGCCTTTTAACAGTGATCTTACTTCGATGTAATGTTGCGAAATTCTTGCTACAAAATTTCCTAATTTGAAATGACTTGTGTGACCATGATTAATTACACAATATTCGCATAATGTATTATACCTATAGGTATATGTATACATTGTGCAGTATTATCTTGATCAGAATCAATTAAAACAATCGACAGCAAATATTCCTATATGTATCATAAGTCTTCGCACAACTTCAGACTTCTGATATTTTAACAACAAACACACAACATTTAACTCGTTTTTATTGTTACAAAACCTTTATTCATAGGCTATCGAATAGCACATTCACTTTACACTGAACGGACCAGTGTCTTCGATTTTTCTCAGTATGCGTCGAACCTTCAAAATCATGTTCTATACAACCTATTTATCGATTTCTATCAACTTTGTCTCAATCCATCCAACCAATTTTTGCATGTTCCAAGTATTTTGGACCATCGCCTATAACATATATCCAAAAACAGACGAGAAATAATTAATTTGGTGTCTATTTGTGAAGTTAAAAAGATGGTCCTTTTTTCATGCAAATGCTATTTTTGAAGAAGTGAGCCATTATTGTGGTTTTTTCTGCTTGCAAAGCACAATTTTCTCTTTAATCAGATAGTTCCCAACGAATTTCATTGATTCCAACAATAATTGGTTGATAATGGTCCATTATTAATGTAGCAAGTAATGGAGGTTTAACCTTACGTTTCACTAAATTTTCGAATAATGGCTCTAAAACTCCCTCCAAAGAAGATCCTACCATGCCAACACTCCTTTATCAAAATTCGGCCAACCCCCCTTCGCACATTACTGGTTTTATATGCAATCAAAACATGAATTGAGGGGTTCAGAGGAAAAATTTTATGTAGAAAAGTTCCGCGGAAAAATGTTCGGGAGCTAAATGATATCATTTAGCAAAGTTAATTGGTACCAAATAGCCTAACTAGTTGATACCAAATAGCTTTAGCCTAACTAATTGATATCAAATAGCAACTTAATATACATTTGTTTCCGTAAGAATAAATATGGCAATACAAAAACAGAATCTGAAGAACGTTACATCAATTTTTTTTTGTATGGAGTTGTACCATGTTAAAAAAATATATGTAAAGTTCTACAGATTCCGTTTTTGTATTGCCATATTTTTTTCTTACGGACACATTTGTTTATTCAAAACGTTGCAGAAATTCCTCATTTTTTAGTTTCAGTTCATACTGACGCAATGAAGCAACGTTCCGAATTTAAAAATGTATATTAAGTTTATATTCACAGTACACAGAAAAAATATCTACCAACTATTTTCGTCACAAAATTGATATCAGAAATGTATAGATGTCCTATTAACATCGAAATATTAACATATCTTATTAATAAATACGAAAAATCCTTTATTACTCAGAGAAATTGAACAGTGTGAACATGAATGTGTTCATTGTATTTCGCCCATTTACACTGAAGTTCTTCCCAGTGTGAATCGTCATTTTACACTTTGATTTTGCAAGTTCAGTGTAAAATGATTTTGCGTGAAAAAAACTATTTTTTTTTAATTATTAAATTTTTTTCGTGTTTTTATTTTATTGTTAAATATCCAATGAAAGATTTAAAACTTAATTTGGTTTGATATTGATTCAATTTGTAGTGATTTTTTGCTCTAGAAAAAAATTAGCATTGCGATGTAAAAAACTCAAACAAAATTCATCTCTCACGTTCATATTTGGGATAATTTGTATTATTTTTTCAATATTTAATCGATTTTGTACATTGAAGGAGACTAAACAACGATTAAAGTGTTTTTTATGCATGAAAATGTGCGACGGTTCATTTGAAAAACACACACTCTGCACAAGTAGTCATATAGTTTAGTGCAAATCATGCACTGATGTGGCTCTGTGGATACGTGTCGACTGTATCAAGCGAACGTTCTGTGTTCAATACCAAAAACATTTTTATTTTATTTTTTTCATTCCAATTTAAATTATTTTATTTTTATTTTCAATCATTTACATTTATTTTATATTTTCCTAATGAAACAAGAAGAAAAAAAATTCATTAATGCTATTTACCTTAAAAAATGGAAATTCAAGTCTATTTAATTCACATAGTCATCTGGTGAAATCAGAATGAAAAAACTCGCATTCCTTATCATCTAGATAATCACGATCTGGATTTTTTTCACTTTTTGAGTGCTCTATACCGAGTCTCCGAGAGTTTCATATAAACTTCCTATGTAACACCTATTGAATAGTGACAAAATGCCAATCGTGATTTAGATGATAAGGAATGCGAGTTCTTTTATTCTGATTTCACCAGATGATACAGAAAATGTGATAGTATTTGTAAATCGAAGAAAAAAAATTTAATTATTTTTTTCATTTTTCGCAATTTTCATCTACATGGCAACTTTATATGAAACCCTCGGAGACTCGGTATAGAGCACAAAAAGTGAAAAAAATACATTTTTTTCTCAATTCTTGAACACAGCTAAGTCGTCTATATCATGTGTTGTGAACAGAACGTAAAAATTTGTCATCTCTGTCACCCAAATCGTGCTTGGCAAATCCTTTTTTCATGCTGTCTCGCTCATCCTTGCATTCACACTTGTTTACAATCGACATTCTACTAACACACAACTCACACTTTTATTTTGCTGTGCAAAATTGCAAATGGCGCGTATTAACTTCGGCATTTTAATAGATAATAAACATACTACTACTCGCTATTAACATCGATCTTAATACTACTACTCATGTTATTATGCGTAGTATGATTGGTTGTTAATAGTTAATATAGCATCCTAATAAAATATTATCATAATACAAAATGTACTCTCAGAAAACTCAGATGTTAAAATTCAAAGTAATCAGAGGAAAATGCCATTTTAACATGGAGAAATTTTGTCACATGTTAAAATGCCGTTTTACCCGCAAAGATATTGTTGCGGGTAAAATGACATTTTACCATATGAAAAAATTCCCTCATGTTAAAATGGCATTTTGTCGTCATTTTAACATGGAGATATTTTGTCACATGTTAAAATGCCATTTTACCCACAAAGAAATTTGTTGCAGGCAAAATGGCATTTTACCATGTGACAAAATTTCTCCATGTTAAAATGGCATTTTCCTCTGATTACTTTGAATTTTAACATCTGAGTTTTCTGAGAGTATTAACATATCGGATTTGGCACATCTATACAGAAATGTTATGTTTCAAATTTAGGTTTCGTCACTCGTTCTTCACCTCGATAGAGGTTTTTTATTTGATATCAATAGTTTTGTAAGCGCTATTTTCCATGTTAAAGATTCAAGACACATGAATTTGAATCATTTTCAAATACAATGAAAATATGGATTTTTAGGCTATTTTTGGATCATTTTTTGGCCACATTTTCACTATCGAAGGCCATATCTTGAAAACAAGAATATCCTGATCTATGCGGCATTTTATAGCTTAGACTTAGACCCTAAAATCGGTGAAATGTTCAAAAAAACTATTGAACCGTTTTCGAGAAAATACCCATTACGTGTCCGGCCAGACGGTCTATTTTTTGGTTATTTTGGCCGATTTGGCCACCCTAACTTGAAATTTTTAAGTGGCAATTGGCATTATTCGATAGCTCACTTCAAGACCTTTCCAACGATGTGCATATGTCCGGGTTGTGTCAAGTGGATGTGTCTCGGTTACCGTGGGGACAAAACTCAAAAAGTGACTTTTGGAGGACGGCCACGGCCAACATGGCGGCCAAATCTAAAAGTGCCGGAACAAAAAAGTCTTAGTTTTTTAAGCTATTTAATCATAGAAAGTTTCAAAAAGATCAGAAACAACTACGCAAAATTGCGCACACACAGCCAGCAAAATCAAATGAAATTTTTAAAATGCTGAATTTTTCGATCGGATTGATCAATTTTGACGTTTAAGGTATCGTTGGAAAGGTATTTAGTTCCATCTATGGCCGTAGAACTTAATTTTGACCCTTTTCTTGAAAGGACCATATTTTGAAGACAGGCAGACCGATTTTCAAACTTTTATATTACTTTTCGATGTCCGAATGTATGTGCGTGGTACCCTGTACCCTGTATCCTGTACCCTGTACCCTGTACGCAAAAATTTGTTAACACGATAACTTTCAAACAAGAAAAGTAATTCAAAATCTGACTTCACAGGATGATTGGGGGTGCCGAGGAATAGAAACCATTAGATTTTGAGCGACTTTGGTTTATAGAGTGACGTGTCATGTCTGGTGTGATTCCCATGGCCATCCATGGGAAAAATTCAATTTTTCATCCAAAAGTGATATTTAATGTATTCTTAAAATCTCAAAAATATGTATTGGGGGGTTTTTGGGTGCGAGAAAACCGAATATGACGTTAGTTTTGCGATACAAATAATTTTCGACACACTTTTCATACAAAAATTTCAAAAAATTTGGATTTTTGTATGAAAACCATGCCTGTATGATATCGTAATGAGCTGAAACCTTGCACAGGTTATTTTTATCACCCAAAAATAACATTTCGAGAGTTTGAAGAGATTTCAATGCAAATTAGGGATACCTCCCGAACAAAATTTTGGATTTTTTGCTCAAAAACGAAAATTTTGTATGAAAACTCAATTGTATTGAAATTTCTTCAAACTTTCAGAATGTTAGCTTTTTGTGAAAAAAATAACATCTGCAACTTTTCACATGATTACGATATCATACAGGCATTGAAAAGTCTATCAAAAATTATTTGTATCTCAAAACTTATATCAGATTCAGTTTTCTCATGAATTCATATTTACGGTAAAAAATACGTAATAAATGCATGTTGTGGGTCACAGTGCGGAAAAGTTCATCTTACGGATGTAAGACATTTTATTTTTTCTTGATCTATGGCCTAAGGACTTTCAAACCATACACCAATCGCAGCTAAAGGCCTTCCAGGTTAGAATTTGGAAATTATTTGGACATTACGTGTATATATAGCAAGTCGACTTTTCAACACACTAATGTTGTTTCGTCATTCGCGCGAACTGCCGTCCGCTGTGATTTTCTGTATCATCTGGTGAAATCAGAATAAAAAAGATCGCATTCATTATCATAATGGGCATTCGGTCACTATTCAATAGGTGTTAAATGGAAGTTTATATGAAATCTCGAATGAAAATATATTATCTCGCTTTTATATGCAACCGTTTTGAGTTGCGTTTTGATATGCGATCAAACAATCTAGAGCGTTCAAATACACATTTTGAGAATTTAATTTTCATGTAGTACTTAACCGAGTGACAGATTAAATCCATCGAAGAAAAATCAGCAGAAATATTTTGCCAAAGATCTAAAAGAGGCGTTCAAGCATCCGGAATAAATTTTCCCATCACCATTTCATGCATAATACTTGAAAGCCGCCAAAATGTTCACCTTTGCAACCTTTCCATAGCTGGGCAGACAGGGGGTGGAGGGGGGAATTACCCCCCTCTGAGGCATCAAATTTTGGCAATACCCCTTTAAAAATTAGACGACATTTCAATTACCCCTGTACGAATTTACTCTTTCCGAGAAGGTGTTTGCACCAGACAGAATGGGCTTTTGGGAAAATTCTTTTGATTTGCTAAGGTTTTTAGGAATAAAATTCTTTAGATTTGGTAGAGTTTTTAACGAGAAAAATCGTCCAATTTACAAGGGATTTTTGAAGGACAATTCTCTCCTCCTGAAATAAAAAAACTCCTTATTTTTACACTAAAAGCTATATTTACCCCCCCCCCATAATTTTTGAAAAGTTTGAAATTACCCCTTTACAAATTAGAAGAAATTTTCATTAACCCTCCCCTTCCCACCCCTGAATTTTTCAGTCTGCCCATTGAATCCGGAAAGTAAAGCAAAATTCTATTCAATGATTCTTATCTATAAGCAATTTTCCAATAATGCACCCGCGTGTCTGAATCATATGTTTGTTACTAACGGTCCGACATCTCGATACCCTTATAATATTCGCGTTCGTTTTACACCTCGTACAGTACACGCGCCTTTAGTTTTGCGGCATGGCCTGGAAATGCCTATGTAATTTACATATAAACGAGTGAGACTCAAACATGTTCTTCTTTTTCCATCAAATATACCAGTGGCGCCACCAATTTTACATATAAGCGCATACAAAATTTTCAATATGGCTGCGCCCATGAGAGAGAAAATTTCGTCTCATTCATTTCCGCCCCATGTTTTGCGGCTATTAATTTTTAGAATAGTATCCTGATCGAAATTAGAAATTCGGAGTCATTAACGCACAGTCCCTGCGTGCACATATTGGTATAAATTTTGGTCTCGTAATGAATAAATAAATAAATAAATAAATAAAAAAAAGTTGAGATTCTGTGATGAGAATATGCCGCAACATAACTTTTGACGGTTTAGGCGTGACTGCCGTCGGACGCTTGACACTGTCAAATGTGTATATCCCTATCGCGAACATAAGTATAACAACCGTTTTATTTTTTGTGTTGTAGATTATTATATGATTGAGGTGTATCGAACCCCCTGTATCGATCCATTACCACTAAAATAATGTGTAACTTTTCAATTTTTCATAATTTTTTAAATAAGCTCCATCAATCGGCGGTCAAGGAATCAGTGGACTCAATGGAGCTAGACCAATCGCAACATCCACAACTCGCAACACCCTCCCCAGAAAGTAGTTCAACTTCTACGAATTCCGGTTCAGGGTCAGCAAAGAGTATGTATAACACTTTTCATTTTTTTCATTAACTGCATATGCAAATAACTTGACATTGTTCTTTTCGTTGGAATATGTGAAATAAATACAGGTGCAGATACAGTGAAAAGAGGTGTTTCGCCGATAGCTCTTGTACCATCACAGTCAAGTAGTAAACTTAGAGATAGCATTAGTAGTTTTTCAATAAATGCAAGTAATAACTTGGATGGAAATGCAAAAGATTCTTATGCAGTTGAACATGGTAAAAGTAGTAATAATATTAGCACTAAAAATGTTTTGTTTGCTACAAGTGTTGAAAAAAGTCTGTGTTCATATACGACAAATGATCAACTACCCACCAATTCCAATCATTCGAATTCAATAGCAAACCCTACTTCTGAACTTCTGAAACAAAAATTATCACCTTTATTACGTCATCGAAACACACAACTAAACGTATCAAATCATTTGAATGATACAAAGAACACTGCCAGTCAAACTAAAACGAAACAAAATATTCAATCAGCATTAGACAATTTTTACCTTTCGTCAATTGGCAATTATGATAAAAATAGACATTTGGTGTTATCAACTTCGATGGAATCAGATTTACTTATTCAAAAGACCGTATCGCCATCTTTATCGTTAAGCAATCATATGAACAGTTTACCGTCACAATTCGCTAGAAGTAATAACGTTCAATATCAGCAAGAATCACTCAAGAATAACTCAAAAAACTTTGCGAGTCAAGGAAATACTTTATTCAATACGTTGAATTCAATGTCAAATTCGAATCCGCCTATTACTTTATCAAGCCAAACATCAACAAACATAACCACTCCAGTAACAATATCAACCTCAATTTCTAATGATAATTTTACAACTAAAAATATTAATGGAACACTGCCAAAAACAACAAATTCAATTGCAATTGGAAATATCTGTGGAAATGTGTCTGCAGTGGCAAATGAATTTGAACAATTGATTGCACGAAATACCAGTGCTAGTAGCTTTTCAAACATTTCGACTAATAACCACAGTAATTATAATACGTTAGGTACATATCGTGTGCAGTACGCTTCAACTAATCCATTCTTAAATAACTTTAATTTGAACTCAAGCGATTTAAGTATCAATTCAGAATATAAAACAACTGATGGAAAATAAATTTTTGGATGTTTAATTTTTATCGCTAAAAAAAATGAAAATTAATCCATTCTTAAATAACTTTAATTTGAACTCAAGCGATTTAAGTATCAACTCAGAATATAAAACAACTGATGGAAAATAAATTTTTGGATGTTTAATTTTTATCGCTAAAAAAAATGAAAATTAATATTCAATGACTGAATACACATACATCTTTCAAGAATAAAGTATGAAATATGAAGTTTTATTTGCTATATCGTTTAATGAATATAATAAAGGAACGAGTACGACATTTCCCCCTTTGCTAAGCGAAATTAATCCGATATACGGCGCTGATCACTCTATGTCATTCCATAATAATACATTTTTTGGCTTGACAATATATAAAGTAATACCAATGCGACACCTACCATGAAAATGCAAAAGGAAACTTATTTGGGATTGTAGCATTTTGGT